GGGGGGGTGGGGGGGGGGGGGGGGGGGGGGGGGGGGGGGTGGTGTTGTCTTTTCAAAACATTAAACATTTCTCAGTTGTCTCACATGATTTCCCTCCTGTCATCATTTCTGTCTCCTCCTGTCAGCCCCAGTTCTGAGCTTCAACAGGTGTCTAATGACAATGGACTAAAATCTCCTGATCCTTCTTTAACACTGTTGAACCAAGCAGAACCGGAAGCATGAGTTCCCCCGAGATGGAGGTTGGACAAGCAGTGACGGAAGAAACTGATGCTTATTCTCACCAACGCCAAAGCAACCATGGTGGTCAGCCCCATAACCAGGGAAAGCGATACAGGAGGGAGGGCTCAGCTGGAGGAGCAAGAACTTCTCAACAGCGGCATTCACAGGAGGAGCAAGACATTGACCAACTGTATGGGGCTCAGTCCCCACAGCTCCAGCAGCAGACACAGCCTACGCCACGACCTGCAGTAACCCGTTACCGCAGACAGGGAGACAGCGAGGCCCGGATGAGAGTCCAGCAGCAGAGACACAGGCAGAGGCAGCAGAGAGAGGCGGAAAGGGCACAACAACAGAAGAAGCAGCAACATCCAGAAATGTCCCCAGAAGATGAGCGCGAGCGTGATGACTCAGCCCTGGCCCGCTCAGCCAGCACTGAGAGTGGCTTCCACACCCACTCCGACAGGGTAGAAGGGGACGATGGTCTGGTTATGATGTCTCTGGAGCCGGAGGCACAGCCAGAAGCAGAGGATGAGACGGGGAACTATGGAGTCCAGCTACGGCCTGAGGCTGAGGGATACACTGAGAGTGCAGAGGCTGAACAGCAGCACCTTCACTCACATCTTTACTATCCCCCACGGCCCCCGCCTATACCACTTGAACCCCTGCCTGATATCCAAAATCCCCAGAGCCTTGATGATGCTGAGGAGATACCAAATGCTGGATACTCCAACTATGTGTACACCCAGCTCATCAGCCCCTCAGGGGGGAGGCCTGATTGCTTTGGGAGTCAGACATTTGAAGGTCTTGACACTGCACCTGTGGAGGAGGCTTATGCTGAGCCCTATGACATTTACTCAATGTCAGAGCACGTATACGAGGAAATCTGTGATTCCAACACATCGGTTTCATCCACTTCCGATACAGCAGGGGACAGAGTGTCTCTACAACAGAAGAGAGCCAGTTTTCGTCTATTGGAGGGCCAGACAGGAAGTGGTGACTACCATCAACAGGAGGCAGTGGGCTCTCGTCTGCGTCACTACGATGAGCGCTCTGACGGTGAATCTGACAGCCCAGAAAAGGAAGCCGAGTTTGCCCCGTACCCACGGGCCGACAGCTGCGAGCATGAGGAGGACATTGTCAGCATCATTGCTGAGGTCAATGAAAGTGTGAGTTCTCAGAGCCTTCGTCAGGCTGCAGAGGAGGTTATAGCTGTGAACGAGCTTGAATCACAGGGCGACAATGACAAATGCCACAATGCGTCAGACCGGGGGAAGATGTTCAAGAAACTGACCGTGAGTCCTTCAGATGAATCTGCGTTCATGAGGAACAGTCAAGAGAAGAGGGATGCTATATCTCTGGCCATCAAGGATATCAAGGAGGCCATAGAGGAAGTGAAGACCAGAACAGTGAGGTCTCCTTACACACCTGACGAGCCCAAGGAGCCCATCTGGGTCATGAGACAAGACCTGAGTCCAACTGCTGAGTGTGACCTGCCAGCATCTCTGGGAGGAGACGTAAGTACAGTCATGAAAGATGTCAACACAGCCCAGAAAGAGCTTTATTTTAGAAAAGGAATTGAAGTGAGCAGGACGTAGGATTTTATTTTATTTAAAGGGACTATGTTGTATTATACTGCTTTTAAGAAAAGTATTGTGTTTATTTGATGGCTAAAATAAATTTTAATTACCTGCTTCAGTAAAAAGAGAAAAACTTGATTAATGATTAAGGCTGGATTCTTTACACATGTATTTATCTGCCTTGTTCTGAACTTTTCACCCTCTAAATGGTAATGAAAAGCCACTGATTGACAACTGACATAACAGTTGAGCAGTGAGAGAAATGGCTTCTGACAGGACAAACATTTTCATTTTGACAGGTAAGGTAAACAGACAGGACAACCACATGTTGTCAGAACAACAAAAAGTTCCATAGAAAGGTCCATAGAAAGACAGCCTTTTAGGCTGTCTTTCTCAGTTTTGTTTCTGATGACCATCCATTTCTATTGCCTCCATTTTTTAATTAATTATATTTTATCCTATTTTTTGCAATTACACAATTGTTAAATTATGGAACCAAGAAGTAAACGTTTTCAAGTGTCACTCTGCCTATTCAAATGCTGTAGACCCATATTCAAGATTTTCTTTAAATCTTTAAATACACAGCGTTGTTTTATTTCTTCTCTTCCTCCCCGCCTGTTGCCCCTCCTCTACCTGCCCCAACATGATTTATTCAGTAACAGTGAGATAAAGAAAGGCAAAGGGCAAAAAGTTTAAATAATTCAGTGAGGATCCAATATCAGTTACAAAGGCTGTTTTTCCCCCTGACATCACTGTATTAGAACACACCTGCAGCCAGAGTGGTTTTATTTATGTGTTTGTATTTAAGTTACTGTTGAAATCGCTGAGTTTAGCCATTAATTATTTTAGGGACATAAAGTCAAAATATCACAAACTCAAATCTAACATACAATTGGTTCCTGCCTGTTGATTCCATGATGAATCCTGACACCAGTGTCACCTGAGTAGCAGACTAGGAGTCTGCAGACACCACTGTTGTATTAAACCACACACACACACAGTTACACACACTCTTTAGTCATTTCAAACACTTGGTTGAGGATCTTCTGGGTTTGGAGCATTTACGAATAACTATGGAAAACTTTTGGATATATCAGGTGGAGAGGCATGAAGAGGAACAGGACAGGAAGAAGCAGCCGATGGAGGAGCCTGATGTAGATGAGGTGTGGACGGTTTGTGCTGCTTTTTTTGGTGTATCCATGGTTTCTCCGTCTGAGAGCAGACAGCGTTTTACCAGCACCAGCTGAATCAGAGCCAACACAAAATCTATTTTCACTTGGCAACAACCACAACAAGTGTCATGAAGTTATGGCTGAATATTAAGATCAATTCTGTAACTGTAACAGTTACGTTAAAACAATTTACTAAGGTGAATATTTGGATACAATTTCCCAAGTACATTTTTGCTACTAACATTGTTTTTTGGGAGATTTAAGTTTTGTTTTTGTTTTTTTGCTTACAGGAACATTAACGATTAGTGTTGTACGGATTAAGATGGTCGGACGATAGCTTAGACATTAGAAAAAATAATTTTAAGATAAGCGAGATTAGATGTGGATGCTACATCTTAATCTTCACAGTCACTGCTAAAGAAATTCTAAAAGAAAAAAAAATCCTAATTTGTGTTTTGTTTCATATTCCTTTATACAGTCTCCTGGTTCCAGTTCTCCTTCTCCTCTGGGAGCAGAGTCATCCACCAGACATCTGCTGCAGGACGATGTCATAGACTCCTCTCCTTCCAACAAAGACGTGAGTTCAAGTGTCAGCTATTCATATCTGTACATGCTTTGTACATTAAGTCCTAAAATCCTTACTGTGATTCTTTTCCCCATCTATAGTCCAGGAGGAGCCTGGCCGTAGAAGGTGAGTGAGTGAGTCATCGTCTCACCCAGTGGCTCTGTAATTTATGAGGAGGAAACAGCCGCAGTAAACGTTTGATTCCCTTGCTTTAAATACATGTAATGTTTGTTAAAAAACTGGGTGTGGTTAAAGACAGTAATTTCAGATTACACCACTCTTCTGTCTTCAGTTCCAGGTCCATGCGACCCAGAAGACCTGATTGATGGAATCATCTTTGCAGCCAACTACCTGGGCTCCACCCAGCTGCTGTCAGATAAAACGCCCTCCAAGAATGTCCGCATGATGCAGGCACAGGAGGCGGTCAGCCGTGTCAAGGTCATAAAAACTCACGCGCAAAATATTTCATCTACGTCATTGATCTAATGTCCATTATTCATTTAAAATGCCATGTTTGACAACCGTACAAAAACATGCAAAAATGATAAATGGCAGAATGTAAAAATCGTCCTTACAGCGAAAGAAAATAGGAAGAGGTCAAAAAAAATTACAAATCACAATCACAAATAGATTTCAAATGTTGCCAAAATTAGTAATGTCTTCAAATTATCTTTAAAAAAGGATCTAAAATAAAACAATTAAACCTTCACATTTGTAACCTACAACTGTGACTTATTTTGGGTTATGGTTCAGCAACAAGGAAATGGTCACAATGGTCTACACTGTATGTACTGCAGCCAAATGAAAGATACATGGTAAACGGTACAGTCTAATTGTTAGGACACAGATGTCCCATCAGCTCCTCCCTGTGACCCTCGCTCCTCATGATCACGTTCTAACCCATGACTCTTCTGTCTGTTTTGTTCCATGTCTGGCAGGCGGCACAGAAATTAACGCAGAACAAGAAGCAGGTGCAGTACCTTCACATCATCTCATCCTTTTCTTCTGATCCTGTCTCTGTGTTTGTCTCCGAACTTGTTTACATCATGTTCACATTTTCTCCTTAATCCTGCCGCGGTGTTTGTTTGTTTTGTTCGCTCTTGTCTCAAAATGTTTATTTATCTCAGAAAACACTTAATTGGTAAAACAGTTGTTTGTTTTATTTCTACATAAGTGAGGTCAGAGAACAACGGAAACTCACCAATAGACCCAAGTACTAACAGACATCTTCTTCATTGCACTCAGACCATATATACTGTATGATTTAAATTAATGCGGTTTTGATGATGACTGGGAAGAACACGTAACTCCTGACTTTTTGCTTTATTTAAAAAACAGCTTTATTTACAGTTGCATGTTGTGTGTGTGTGTGTGTGTGTGTGTGTAGGCCCCTGATGGTGAACCCCAGCCTATGACAGAAGTGGATCTGTTCATCTCTACCCAGAGGATCAAAGTGCTCAACGCTGACTCCCAGGTACTGACTGTGGCCCACATGAGTCTCCTAGTCATGATCTAGTCTCCTAGTCATGATCTAGTCTCCTAGTCAGTGTCTCATGGATGAATGGATTTTATTTTCTAGTAATACTAGGTTTATTTACCTGTGATGTCCACAACATTTGTTCTCGTAGTGTCAATCATGGATGCTGTCCTCTTATATACAGAAAGAGTACTAGAGGGTAAATGAATCAGTGATGCACACAAGGAGAAACCTCATTAAGATTTATTAATTAAGATCACTTCCAAGAGCTGTAGTGTTAAATGATAGGTTTAGATATTTACCTGGTACATAAAGAAAACCTGGTAAGGCTAGGACAAAAGATGAGTACAATTTATTCATTTGTGTACTCGCTGAGGTTAGGCCAGGTTGCAATAAATATGCAATGGACTGTGAGTCAGTGTTATATAGGTGGCATAGTTCTCTGGGTAGTAGGATGACACGCAGTGTGTGTGTGTGTGTGTGAGCTCAACCAAAACCACAGTGAGGACATTGAGCATAAAAAAGTTTACAGACAGTTTTATTTTCTTATTTCAGGTCAAAAGGAAACAAATATTCCTGTATTAAACAGACAATATATCAGTATGACTACTGTGGTATTCAATATAACAATGTTAGCTTTTTTAAATTATTCTATTTTTGTATAAATCTGTTGTTTGTTTTAGGTTTGATTTCCAAGGTACTCTTGTGCTGTTTTCTCTCCTCTAGGACACCATGATGGACCACCCCTTACGAACCATCTCCTATATTGCCGACATTGGCAACATTGTAGTTCTCATGGCGAGACGCCGGATGCCTCGACCTGACTCTCAGGAGAGTGTAGAAGCCTCTGACCCGGGTCAGGACAGCAAGCGTCAGTACAAGATGATATGTCATGTGTTCGAGTCCGAGGATGTAAGTTTGAGACCAAACAACTTTCTCCTTATGATTACTGTGACAGAGAATGTTGTTGGATGACAGTTCTATTCCTAATAATTTTCCATTCATCCTTTTAGGCCCAACTGATTGCACAGTCTATTGGACAGGCTTTTAGCGTAGCTTACCAGGAATTCCTACGGGCCAATGGCATTAACCCTGAGGACCTCAGCCAGAAGGAATACAGTGACCTCCTCAACACTCAAGACATGTACAATGATGACCTGATTCACTTCTCCAAGTCTGAGAACTGCAAAGAGGTATGTGGGCCATGGATTCAAACAATACACACAGTTGTTTTTTTTATTATAAAAAAAAAATCCAAATTCTTAATTGTCACTACTGGGGCAGTGGTAAAGGAAGCTAACTTGGGTCTGGAAGGCTTCAGGTTCAAGTCCATCATCTGCCAAGTTACCACTGAGGTGCTCTGAGCATGTCACTGTCCCCACACACTGCTCCCCAGACACTTAAAGTTGTCCACTGTTCACTTTGGTGATGGGTTAAAAGCAGAGGTCATATTTGGTTGTGTGCAGTGTCACAATGACAAGGAGTTAATTTTCCTTTCCTTCCTTTGTTGCAATGCCAATGCCCCTACCTACTGGGGTGCTTATCCATTTCAAAATTAATATGAATAGCTATGAAATATATATGAAAGCCAGCAAGAAAACTAATTTGTTTTAAATTTAAAAATGTTGTTATGACTAACGGTCATTTTCAAGTTCTTTTGTATGTACTGTATTGTCTTATACAGTACATACAGTACATATATTATATATGCTGCTTTATAGCCCATCTATTTACTTATATTCTCTGTTTTGAACACAGGTGTATGTAGAGAAAGGTAAAGGCGAGATCCTGGGTGTGGTCATTGTGGAGAGTGGGTGGGGCTCCATCCTGCCCACTGTCATCATTGCCAACATGATGCATGCTGGGCCAGCTGAAAGGTCTGGCAGACTGAACATTGGAGACCAGATCATGTCAATCAATGGGACCAGTCTGGTGGGCCTGCCCTTGTCCACATGTCAGAGTATCATAAAGGTATGTGACTACAGCATGGCCAAGCAGTAATACATCCATCTTAATGTCACAGTAGAAATTTAAAACCGATTATTGTCCATCAATCATGTATGTTATCTTTTTCTTTTTCTTTCGGCTTAACCCTCCTCCTCCCTCACTGCATCCATATATCTCCTCTTTGGCCTTCCTCTCTTTCTCCTACCTGGTAGCTCCATCTCTAACATTCTTCTACCGGTGTATCCACTGTCCCTCCTCTGCACATGTCCAAACCATTTCAATCTGGCTTCTCTAGCTTTTTCTCCAAACCTTCCTGTCTGTGTTGTCCCTCTAATGACCTCATTCCTGATCCTGTCCATTCTTGTCACTCCTAAAGAGAATCTTAGCATCTTTAACTCTGCCACCTCCAGCTCCTCCTCCTGTCTTCTGCCTATTGCTACTGTCTCTAAACCATACATCATGGCTGGTCTCACCACCGTCCTGTAAACCTTTCCCTTCACCTTAGCTGACACTCTTCTATCACAGATCACTCCTGACACTTTTCTCCAGCTGTTCCATCCTGCCTGTACTCTATTCTTCACCTCTCTTCCACAGTCTCCTCTGCTCTGAACAGTTGATCCTAAGTACCTAAACTCCTGCACCTTCACCACCTCTGCTCCTTGTAGCCTCACTATTTCACTGTTCTGCCTTTCGTTTACACACATGTACTCTGTCTTGCTGCGACAGACCTTCATTCCTCTTCTTTCTAGTGCAAACCTCCACCTCTCTAGGTTCTCTTCTAGCTGCTGCCTACTCTCACTACAGATCACAATGTCATATCAATCATCTATGGCAGGGGTGTCTAACTAATTTTCACCGTGGGCCACATCAGCAATACAGTTCCACTTGAAGAACCGGTTGTAACTGGAAGATTGTATAGGTTAGGGGTCCCCAACGCCCGGTCCGTGGACCAGTACCGGTCTATTGGTCATTTGGTACCAGGCTGCAGTGGGACATAGTTAAAAATGTGCTCAATTTTTACCAATTTACTTTATTCAAAGAAAGTCCAGTCTTGCTTCCTTTATTCAAAGAATATCAATTAAAAAAGGATGTAATAAAAAAACTTTTAATTTCTCAGGTTAAGGTCCTGCGGGCCACACAAAATGGCTTGGCGGGCCGCATTTGGCTCCCGGGCCAAGAGTTTGACATGTATGATCTATGGTATGATTGTGATAAACCTGTTTATCTGTTTACCTGTTTAGTTTTCTGTTTTCAGAGTGGTAAGTATTTTAAGCTTGTATTTAACCTCTTTGTAGGGTCTGAAAAACCAGTCCCGGATCAACCTGAACATCGTCAGGTGTCCTCCAGTGACCACGGTCCTCATCAGACGACCAGACCTTCGCTACCAGCTGGGTTTCAGTGTTCAGAATGGCATTGTGAGTCCTATCAACCCAGAACACTGTAGCAGTAGTAAAGTAGTAGTCAAAATGGTTTACAGTAGAAAATAATTCGTACTAAGTAGTAACAGTAGTAATATAGAGGCAAAACTGTTAGTAACAATAGTAGCATAAGCTGTGCTAGTAGTAAATGTCACAAGCAATTGTTGCATTTTCTACTATTGGAAGCAAAAATTAGCATTCTGCCAATTATGCTAGCAGTTATAGAAGAAGTATCATATTTTCCAGACTATAAATCGCACTTTTTTCATTTTTGGCTCGGTTTGTGATGCTCAGATGCGACATATATTAAAATATAATTTTGTGTTTGTTAGTTTTACACTGAAAGCCGCTAGAGGGCACTCTAGGCTTGTGTACCAGTATTTGATACTCCTGTACCACTGAAAATTTACTTGTTCGTTATTTTCACACTGACAGCCGCTAGAGGGCACTCTAGCCTTGTGTGCCCGTATCCACAACTCCTGTAAGTCGCACTTGTTTTCATTCTTTAGCTGGTGCGATTTATAATACTCCGGAAAATACGGTAGTAGCACTTTCGAAGCAGTACAGCTGTATCAGTAGCAACAGCATTAACCTAAGCATTACTATGACAAACACAGCAACTTTTGTTTGGTATAATAATTCCCGTGTCTCTTTGGCAGATCTGTAGCCTCATGCGAGGAGGCATTGCTGAACGAGGGGGTGTGAGAGTGGGTCATCGCATCATCGAAATCAACAGTCAGAGCGTGGTGGCCACGCCCCATGAGAAGATTGTCCACATTCTTTCCAACGCGGTGGCAGAGGTGAGACGTTTCCACTGTCGCTCACACAAGCAAGGAGGTTATTTCACACAGTGATAACACTCACTGAAGTTTATATAGAAAATCATCATGTTAGCTTCACAGGAAAAATCCAAACAAATGAATTTCACACAATCACATTTCAAACTTTAAATTTTAAAGGGAGCAGCAGTACAACTACACTTCTATGGAACATGGGGGGAAAAAAATGAAACGTTGAGATAGTTTCTTGTGCTCACGAGAAACCTTAGGCTAAGCACAGGCAGTTGTGCTTCCTGTGCCTATGCCCCTAGGCTCTTTCTTTCTTTCATGACTTATAATCCATTATTATTTTTATGTATTTTGTGATAAGTTTCACGTTATTTCGTGATAAGTTTCACGTTATTACGTGATAACTTTCACATTATAGTGGTCCCTCTCTTTATCACGGTTCTAATTTCGCTTCCTCAGTACATCGCAGATTTTTAAAAATCTAACCTCGGGACATTAAAAATGCTTTAATTTCCAATATTTTCATTATTTTCCTGTGCATAACCTAAGGCTTCTCGTGAGCACGAGAAACGTTTCATTTCATTTTTTTTCCCATGTCCCAACTTTTTGATTGATTTTCTCTACTGTCTTCCCTGTGAGGCAGCGGATGCAAATTTTAGTCACTGGGTTATTTCTCTTGCACAAGTTCAGGCGATTAGGTTTTTAGCTAGAGTGAGCAAGGGTGTCAGTCACGTAGGTGGCAGCAGGGGGCACACGTAGGTCAGGCTTGACTGTACAGTATGAGGCACTGACTGTACTGTACAACTCCACTTAACAGCAACTGAGATTTGAGAGCAGCTAAGGGGAATTTTCTCACATTTCTGCTTTGTGTGGCTGTGCAGTGACAGCAGCTATTAGCAGAGAATGACACATCCCAGTTGTTGAGCAGAAGAACCAGCATCAGATACCGGACGACTGCTTTTGCTGCTAGGACTGCACTGTTCAGTGGTTCAGTTATAAACAGCAACATCAGCTACATGACACCCACTAGTGCATACCACTGAGGCGAGTATAAGCAGCCTTAAACAGCAGTCTGACCTCCGAGGGCTGACTAAAGTAAACGTATACAAAGGAGAGTGCAGCACATGTCAGCAAATACTGGACATCAGTTTGATGTTTGGTTTAGCCATTGATTGGTTTCTTCATTTAACACTTGTTCATAATGGAGTAAAATAAGAAAAAAATTTTAAAAAATCAACACACATTAAGATTTTGTTTAGAAAGTTTGTTCATTTGAACAATTTTTTTTTATATTTTCAACAACAGCTTGAATGATAATATAAGTGCTAACAGGAGCTCAGGGTTTCAGGAAGACTAGGCATGACCAACGCACAGACACAGCCACCATACACCATGACACACACATCAATGACCCATCAAAGACTGAGTGAGAGAGAGGTTTATATACCCAGGGCACCAGGTGACATGAGTGAGACTGATGACATAGGCGCACGTGATGACACTGATCCACACAGGAGGAAAGAGAGACAGACAGACTTCACACCAGCCTCTTTATTTTTCATTCCAATATTAATATTTTAAAATAATCCTCAAATTTAAACAGTTCATATATTTCTGTTGTTAGTTTTTGTAGGTGGCAAAATAGTTTGATTTCTCTAAAAGGTGAGATTTTTATTTTTTTTATGTCATTAACAAGTTATCAAGGATCAACTACTGTGGGTACAAACACAAACAGGCAGAAGTAAAAATAAATAAATAAAAACAAAAAAACTAAATGTTTCGGAATATCTCCAAGCTGAAGCTGAGGTTAAAGACCTGAAGGGCTAAAGAATAAAGGTAGTAGAAAGGGAGAGTGGTTTAACACAAGTCCCTGCTGTGAAAGACAGAAGTGAATTAAAACAAAAAACCATGAAAACTATTTTAGAGGAAACTATAAGCAGGCTGAACAGTTTTTTTTTTTCACTACTTTTTGTAGTGACCTCGGGCCACTCTGAATGTATCGTCTGCTAACGTTCTATAACTCTTGATCTACAAAGGCGTTTGCTATCATCAGTTAAACAATTTGATATTTTTCTGTGACTCTGGCTGAAACAGATCCACATGAAGACGATGCCTGCAGCCATGTACCGTCTGTTGACCGCACAGGAGCAGCCTGTTTACATCTAACAAGACCTCACATGCCCTTTAACCCAGAGCTGAACCTCCGCTGTTCCCAGCACTCCACCTCCATTTCCACTTCCACCTCAATCCTTCTTCTAAAGCTGCTGCAGTGGGTCCAAGTCGTCGATCGTTGTTGTTGGACATTTTTTGGCTTTGTCTTGTCTTCAAGTGGCAATGTGCAGAAATATATTCACTCTAAGGTCCAATATGCAATGGTTTCAGCTCCGCTAGGTGTAGCAGGTGAGTAAAATGTCTTTCAAGGCTATTGTAAACTGGTGTAGTAAATTAGTTCAGGTCTGGTTTAGGTTCCGGATCATTTTAAGGCCCTGTGGGCTCTCAGAGCCTTGCATTGAAAAATATACATGAATGGACAAAAGTTAAATGTCTCTCCTCATCTCTAGACTTTTTACTGAATAAAATCCGCTTTTCGGAAGTGAATTTAGTTACTAGATTGGTTTTGCTTTTTTTTGTCCCCATATCTAAGGGATGATCCCGGTTAGAGGCTGAAATCAACCAAATATCCAGACTAATATTTGTTTAATTTGAACATATTACAGGCGTAAGGTTTGTGTCAATGTCAGTTGTTAATCTTTGAGCGTTACGCATGATTTAAAACAGCAACTTTAGGCGTGAGAAGTGAGAACAAGGCAACTAGGGCGCTCCTCCTCCTCCATCTGTGTATAAGAGTAGTAGCATAATGTTGTTCATTTCTGATGACGCCAACTGCTCTGCCATGACTATTTCCAGAGCTATTAGTTATCTACATACCTACGTGAGCTGCTGGCTCCCAAATTTCTGCCTTTGTAATTGTTTTAAATCCTAAATGTTGTTTATGGTTGGTCCAGATCAGGCGTGTCAAACTCGTTTTAGTTCATTGGCCGCATATAACCTAATTAGATGTGAAGTGAGCCGGGCCAGTACAATCATAACATAATTACATATGAATAACAGAAAGTCAGTCTCTTCCTCCTTTGTTTTCCTGCAGAATATACATCTGATGAATCTACAAATTTAATTAAATATAATTTTACAAAACATTTCCTGTACATGAAGTGTTTGTGTATTTTTTTTTAATTTTCAAAATGTATTAAGTGGAGCAGTTATGGCCTGTGGGCAGTATGTTTGACATCCCTGGTCTAGATGTTGCTTATTTGTCATACTTACAATATTAAACACACTAAAGAGGTTATTGTTTATCTGCAGTCGATTTAATGTTTGACTGTGGATTGAAGCGCCTCTCCCTCGCTGCAAAGACGTCATCTTTATGCAGCGTCTAAAACTGTGTGAAATCAGGTGGAAGAAGCCAGAGGTGTTGATCAGCTGCTGTGATGAGTTAGTTTCCACTCTTATTAGAGAAAAAAATGAAGAAACATCTTTAGATCAGGAGTCTCATATGAGTTGGGGAGGGGGGGCCCTACTGCCATCATCATCTCATCGGAGGGTTACATCAGCAATGGAGGACTAAGGCAGGCACATGGCAGTACGAGTACCGTTTTTACTGCACTATAAGTCGCACCTGCAAGCTAGTGTGCCCTCTAGCAGCTGTCAGCATGAATATAGCGAACAAGTGCATTTTCAGTGATACAGGAGAAGATGATTCTGGTACACCAGCCTAGAGTGCCCTCTAGCGGCTGTCAGTGTAAAAATAACAAACGTGAAATTAGTCCGACTTGTAGTCTGAAAAATACGGCATTTATATTATAGTGGTTTTGGACTGTCGATACTACGTACAAAACGTTCCTGCTCATATTTTTTAGTACTAGTAAAAATAAGCAGTTAAAAATGTTTTATTACACCTCAAGTAACCATCAAATAAATCACCAGCTATTTCTTTAGCCCTCGACTCTGCAGAAACTGCTTTACCAATGCACCTCAATAAAGTACTACAGTGTCATTACAATGTAGTGCAGGCCTGACGTTGGAAGTACCTGTGTTGGACACACCCCAAAATCCATTGGCTTTATTTGGACTCACCCTGTTTTGTCTCCATCATTCTGGGATGTTGTAGATTTACAGTCAACCAATCTCTGAAAACCGGAGCTGCTGTTGATTTGTTGTAGTGTTGTGTTCAATTCTGTTCATGCTAAAAGTTGCATGTAAACAACAGCTATAACAATGACCTTAATAATCCAACTGTCCTGCTGTCCTGCTGTCTTTGGAGGCCGCCTGTTGCATGATGGACCTTTTCATGATTTATTTCTCAGACCAGGTTTATAACAGGGAAACTGCTGCGTTTTCTTTAAGCAAGTCCACCTCTGTGGTGACACTGAAATTAATATTGAGAGTTGACATCTCAGAAACTCTTCTAATCTGATCTCTGCCCTCAGTTAGAGGTGAAGGTCTTTCCCTGAGAGAAAACGTCAGTTTTCCTGTAGATTTATGTTCTTGTTTACTGAGTGTTTGTTTCTTGTGGTCGTCGTTGTACGGTAATACGCACCAGTCACGACTTGAATGAAGTGGAAACTGGTGCGAGGCTGGACCACCAGGCGTTGACTGATCTCAGACCTGCTGCTATTTCACTAGCAGATACTGCTAGTTTCTACATCACCTCCATGCTACCACAGCTTCACGTGTGTGTTTGTGTGAAAGCTGCCGATGAATGTGTGATCACACATCTGCCGAGTGGTTAGCTTTTCTACCGCGTAGCTCTGTTTTGCACATCGTATAAATAGCTTTTAAACTCCATTGTTCTCAGCTGTCGTGGTGGTTGCTGTGTTTATGTCATGTCGTCAATCTGCACGTTGTACTTAGTTAATTCTGTGTCTAAGGCATCACTATTACCCCACTTACACACCCAGACCCTGGTGTGTCCCTGATCCATAATTCTGATTTTATTTTTTAAAGGTTGTTTCCTAAATGGTACTTAAGAAATGTCATAATTAGGGTTGTCCAATAATATCTGCCGACTGATATAATCAACCAGATATTAGCATAATTATGTATGTAATATCTGTAAGAATCGTTGTTGTTTTTCCCCACAATGATGAAAACCTGGTTAATATCGTAATCGGAGTTTTGATAACATCGGTTTGGATAAATTCATCAACCTTGTACACCATTACTTTTGTCTGACATTTGTAAAATGCTAAAACTCGATCTTTACTGCGGGTGGATTATTTTGCTTTTTAATCCCAGCAGTGACATCTTCTGGATCACACACCAAGTAAACTACACGGTCCGTTCATGCTGTTGCAAGATCTTGACCATTGGCAAGAGTGGCGAAAAAAAGGCTTTTTGTTAAGGATACATTAAAATACTTAAGTGTATGGTGGTAGAAATGTGAAGCATGTGGAGTAGGTTACAGTCAGGTGGAAAACAAAAGTCAGAATACACTCTTGTGATTGTATTGTCTTTTTATCCCAACCACATTAATAGAGACAGTCTGTCTCCATATTAATCACTATTTTTATTTTTTTCAAAGTTCATTCTATTTAAGGTTTTCATTGCAGTGTGTGCAGTTTTTGTCTTGTGTGCAGTGCTGCACAGATATGACGGAGAGTAGTAGTAGGAAAACGGCAACAGCTCCATCACTCCGTTCACCTGTGATTGTGACATCCCGTCCTGTGATTGGTCGAGTCCTCCTTTAATGCTTCAGGTATTACATAGTTGTGAGCGAAGAGGAGGTGAAGATCTGAATTTGTTTTTTTTTGTTTTCGTGGTTGTTTGAAACGTCCGTCCACATGACTGGAGATTTTCTTGGCCTTACAACAACAGCTGCTGCAGGATTTTTATAGTGTTATAAAACAGTATAGAAAGGGAACCATGTTTTTATGCTTCTTTAAATGTGTGTGTGTGTGTGTGTGTGTGTGTGTGTGTTTGTAGACATTGACACCATCTTCAATCAAGGGCCAGCTGAATATATACATAAATATATATAAATACATATATGGACAAACAATCTAGAAAGCTATATAAAACATATACATTTAATGGTGAGTTTGTCTTTTTCAGGTGGCAGTTATTTGAATACAAAAGGGATAGAACTGAAAAATTGATTGTAAAAGTCAGACGTAAGTGTGTTGATATATACAGTAAATACAAGCTGAAAACGTTTGTAGACTTCTAAATAGTGCAATTAAAACTGAAAAATGTCATTTGTTTTTACCAAGTGAACCTTTGAAGTGCAAATAATGTTGTTTTTTGTAAATCTTTCAATATTTGTCATCAAGAAGAGAATCAGACTGATTTTGAGCAACAATTTTTTTGACCCAGTATTTAAAGATATACAATTACATTTAGTTGTTGAGTGAATATAATTAAAACAGAATGTGTTGAAATCCATTGCCAAGTGACATTAATTTAATTTTCATTGCATTTTTAGGAAGTGTACCAACTATTATGGAATTTGGGTTTGTATACTTGGGAGAATCACTAACTTTTCACTTTATGAGGAAATAAAGGGCACACAAGCATGACACATGTACTTGATTAGCTTAAAGGGATACTTGGGCTTTTATTTTAATTGGGCATTTATAATGTGATTATTAATTTGAACCCACTGTGGACAGAGTTCGGCGGGGTAAGGCTTGTCTAAATCTCGGACTATTCCTTTAACCTAACAACGTGTTCACAAGTGCACTAGTGCTGAATGTAAGCAGAATGTAAACTCAGTAAGTGTAAAGAGGAGAAAAGAGCAGCAGCAGTGTTGTATTTATTTGCTGGCTTTTTTCTGTGGTGTTTTAGCAACTGGATCTTCATTCTTGTACCACAGGCAGAATGTATTTCCAACAATAAAAAGACTTGTAGAAGAAATGTGGCTCCACTGGTGCTTCTTAACACACTCACACCTGCAGCATTTGAACCATGGAATTAATTGAATATGAATGAATAAATGTCAATTTTATTCACTCCTGTGAATGATTTTACAGGAAACAATGGATAAAACAAAATAAATTGTAAATATAACATATATTAGTACATCATTCGTCTTGCTATCACTGCCACTTGTGAATAGAGCACCTCACACCAACTGGAGATTCATCAGCACATGGAGTCAGGGCACTGAACCCCCTCACTGCGTCCTGAACCCTTCACCTCCCCCAGACATTTGCACATTTACCTTACATTTGTTCTCTCAGTTTTCTGCTTCTGGGTCCTCCCTCCTTGGTCTGCCAGGATGTATAATTATGTATGTTTAATTGAAATCGAACAATTTCTGCCCAAAAGACCAAGTTCTTTGGAAACAAGTGACTTGACTGTGCAACAGAACCTGGAACAGATCAATAACACCCTGATGGCCTGGACTCTGGGGGGCAGTGCAGTAAAGAGTGTCAACAGAGAGCTACCATTTGTGATTGTTACTGCTTATTTTATTATACATAATGAGTCTGAGAGTAAAGACAGAAGGTCGGCATGTCGAAATCTATTTATTTTTTTACATAAAGAATCCCACATCTAGAAAAACCACAAATCTAATTATGTCATCTGTGGATACAAACATACATCCGTGGAAAATGACATTAAAGTCAATTTCCTCTTGCATCAGTCTGGTGGCAAACTGTAACCTGTTCGCGGGTTCCAGAGAATCTCGGCGTCATCCTCCCGCTTGGAGCACAAACATTGTGACTGTTACATATTCTTTTTTTTATTCTTGTAAAGAAAATAGACTAGTTTCACCAACCAGTAAAAGTTTCTCTAGCTCATCGTCCATGGCAGACCAGCCCAGGGAATAAGCAGGGGAGTTTCCTCTTTCATTCCTTGGAATTATCAGCTGTTAAATAACAACGGCTTCAGATAAGACTATGTATGACTAAAAAGGGGAAGAAAAAAAGATTACTTTTAGCCATATTTTTTTAAAAGGCAGACAAGAAATAAAAATTAGTCAAAAGATAAAACAAATTTTCTGAATACCAGCTTTAAAAGAGACAAAGGTTTACATAAAACCAAAATGTTTTACCAGCACACTCAACACATGGAGCAGGGCATAGAACTGTGACAAAGCACCACCTGCAGGGAAGGGAGATAAACCACCTGCCCCATGCCCTATGAAGAACATTAGAAAACGAATTTTACAAAAACACATGGAGATAAATTTAGTTAATCTAATTTTATTTGTACAGCAGGATTTTCATCAAAAACAAAGGAGCAGGGTCTTCTGTACAGGGGGAGTCACATGTCCTCAGTGGAGGCTTCAACTAAGTGTTTACATTGTCAGTATTTGCTGTAGTGTCAGCAGTCAAAATAACTCTCATCACTAGCTGTTGCTCATACTTTGTGAACTCTAGGTGGCAGAAGCAGCTAACTAAAACAAATTTCTCCTGTATCCCAGTGTTTTTGGTCTGGAAAAGTGCAACACTTCCAGACCTGACACTGCCATAAGTGCAGCAACATTTACCAAGTGGACCAACAGACACTTCTTCTGCAGTTCATTATGTTGTGAGTGTGCGGCAGTTAAAGCGCATCACAAAGTGAGTCCGTATTAAAGGTGAACAAGAGCTTTTAGTACAAAGAAAACTCAAATTTTAATAACAGTAAAAATCACACACTTATCGGCGCACACTCACTCACACACACAAACACAAAGATTTCCCCTCTTTTTTTGTTGCAGTCTATTAGTTGCATCCCGTCAAACAGCTAACACAGCATCATCGCGTTTATGGCACCTCCTACCATGTGCTAACAAAATAGTTCAGTTGTTTCCTTTAAAGCACTGTTTCTCTAAAGACTCCTATCAGACTGTGAGGTCGATCAGGAAGATCTGGACGAGACCCTGTCCTTGAGTCCGCCCTAGAACTCGTCCTGGACGCTGCTCTGGACGCTGCTCTAGACACCACTTTTCTGCCATTTCTTCGATGCTCCAGAGACTCAAAGGCTGCACAGGTGAAGGAGCTGAGGTCTCCACAGCTCTGCAGGTGCAGCAGCCTGGGTCTCCGCCTGTGTTTGTGGGGGAAGGTCTGGAAGGAAGGTCTGGCTAGAGGCTGCTGCTGTTGCTGAGGAGGTTTGGGTTGAGTTGGACCCATTTCTGAGCTGGTGAAGGCCTGGAAGAAACACATTTGAAGTGGATGTTTCATAGAGAAGATGTACTTCGATTCTGAACTAAATGTATTTATATTTACAGAAAACACAAATGATGTCAGATGCTAAAATTAGCCAAATAAAAGAGTTAGTCAAAACAACTACATGTAAGCAGCATAGCACTTCTTTTTTTTTTAAATCAAAACAGCAAACATGGTTACAATAAAATTAGCAAAGACAGCTTGAGTAACAACTGTCTCAAAAATGGCACACATTACTTTGGCTAAACATTAGCCAAGAGTAGGGTTTAAAGATGTCCTGTAATAATTAAGAGTAACTAAATTACAACATAGCAAAACCGGCTAAAACAAGTTAGCCAAGAAGAAATACATATAACCTCAAAATACTAAAGTAATCTCAGAAACAGCACCTGTTCTATGTAACTGGCACATCGTACGGCCTCCTCCATGTGCTCCTCGTCCGACTGCAGGACGTGTCGGATACTGTCCACCAGCTCCTGGACCTCAGGAGCCAGACCCTGAGCCGCCGGCTGCTCCAGGATCTTCCTGACCAGCTCCTGTGTGTGTCTGTAGCTCTGGTAGTCCACCATCGACGAGGGTCTAGGTCGACGGGGGTTTCTGCTGTCGTTGTTGCCTCGTCGCAAGGTGACCTGTGCCTGGGTGTTAGCAGCCAGTGTGGGCTGGGAGGTCTGGGTGGAGGAGTCTGTCGTGTGGGGGGCGGGGAGAGATGCGAGGGGAGCTTGGCTGCTGCTCCACACTACGCCCGCATCAGGAAAAAAAAAACAAACAAACATACATCGATCTGAATTTCTCTCAATATCTGTGAAATCTTACAAGAAAAACACTCTATTCAAACCACTGTTTGAAAGACTTGTTCAACACCTGCTCTGAAAAGTAAGATTAGCTTCATTCTAGTAGAATTCTGTGATGATCCTCCACCAGCACGTAAAATGTTAACAGGTCTTTGTAAATGGATTGTGTGTCAAAAGGGCATCAACCAAAGATGGCAGTGATTATCAACTAGTGGCCCATGGACCATATCCAGCCCACCAAACCACCCAATGCAGCCTGCTGATGGATTCCAAAATAATGAAAATCAAAGAAAATTTATCTTGTGGTCCTCAGTATTTAAGCAACTAAAAAAAACCCACAACTGAGACTTAAATAACTATCAGCAATCTCCACCATGTATGACACTTATATATAATAACACAAAATTCTATTTTAGTGTATGGTCCCCTAAAAATCCTGGCTGTCAGACAAATATAGCTGGTCAACTCTGATCTACCGTGAATATTTTTGTAAAAAGATTCCTGCCAGCCGGAGTGTCCGTAAAGACAAAGGGCAGAACCCACTGCTGAATGTGCATAACTTGGAACCAGAAACTGTGATGTTCAAAGAGTTAGGAACTAATTTTTAATTAGTTCAAACAACCAACCTTTAGCAGCAAGGTCCATCAACACAGGGTCACTGTTGGAGCGGTGGATCCTCTTCTTTTTCCTGGACACCAGTGCAGGAGACTGTTGCTGTAGCTGAGGTTTGGCCTCAGGAACACCATCATGTGATGCAGAGACTGTCTGAGAACTGAAGTCTGATCAGATCCACACAGAGGGACACACTGTCAGTGTTAGCACAAATCAGATCTTTCTGGAAAAAAGTTGTCAATTGGCTCATTTTCAATCATTTGAATTAATATTCAGTCATTTTTTGCTAGCCATTGGTCTTTATTTGACCTATTTCTTTTTCTTAATAATTTGGCCGACTTTAGCCTCAATTAAAGATCCTGACTCATCTTATCACTTGATCATTTCCTTTTTTGTACAGTAGCTTTTAATTGCTTTTTTAATTGCCTTTTCAACTTGTTGTTTTAGCTAAGGTTGCTGATATTGACCTATTGATTGGCAACGTTTTTGCCAGGCAGAACCGACTCTGACCTGTGTGCACTATGACGTACCTTCAGCACAGGCTGGTGGAGGTGAAGTAGCAGTGGTGGCTGCAGTCTGCTCATTCTCCTGAAACAGAGAGTTATGCAGTGATGGAAGTGGAATGCTCTGATTTTTGAAGGATTAAAAAAACAAACAAAAAAAAAAAACAATAATTTTCTTTCTTTCTTTGATGTTTTAAAGATTCCAGAGTCTGGCTTGTTAGAAACAGTTTACCTCAGTGCTGCTGCCAGCAACAGCCTCATAGGGAGGTGGGGGGTCTAGAGGACAGAAGACCTCCACCCCTTTTATCCGAGCCCCGTAGATGTGAGGCAGAGGGATCACACTGTTCCCCAGCATCCTGAAAAAAAAAGACAAAACAGCAAACTAATCACTGATGAACATCGGACAGACAAGTTTCTAAATGTCGGTTTTGTATAGAACTGCATTTACCGTCGTGCCAGACGTGGTGTGTATGAGTAGAAGGTGGAGAAGTAGGAGGGAGGAGGGGCCGGGGCTACAAACTCATCTGGGTCTGGGACCTGAGGAGCTTCTTCTCGTTCTTCCACTGTGGCCCTCGGTTCATCCTGTCACCATGGAAAAGACACATTTGTTTATCTTGCTTGTCGATTCTTTTACTACTGTCTCTAGGAAATAAACACTTGGTTTACAATTTGTTTTAAATTTTTAATTTAAATTTAAAATTTGTTTTAAACTTTGCTCAGCAATAGCTGAAAATTGAGCAAATATACCAAAAAAGTCCAAAGGTAGCCAAAAAAGCAGTAACATTTTATATATATAGTATTTATATATTTTTACTACATATATTTTATATAAAAAGGTGTATCTATAATATATTTCAAATTAAGCCCCAAAATAGCTAGAATTGGGCAAATAATAACATATAACAACAATAAAATAATAACAATAAAATAGTCCAAATTGAGGGAGAATGTATTAAAACAATTGCCAGCAGTAGCATAAGCAGGAAAACAAAGTACAAAATCTTCTGTAACAATAATCCTTCATGCCTTGGGGAAACCTCTGCCCTTGTGTTATTATTATGAGAGTGTATGAGATACCAGGCAGGGTGTCCTGGCTGTGAAGATCTGCAGATATCTTAGGGCAGCTGCCATCAGACACACAGCGGTGGTCAGAGCATTCAGAGCACAGAGTGCAAACAACACTTTCTGCAAAATGAAAAAAGAAAATTAATAAAGAAGAAAAGCTGGTAACGTCTGTGGTTTTCAGGAGCTTGGACATTGTTATTGTATTTATATGCCTGTTTGGTGGATTGAATTTAAAGCCTACTTAAGACCTTGGCAATCTGTTGAAAGAGGGTCAAGGTATTGCCAATGTCAAATGTGACTGAGTTTTAAAAAGGTGAGAGCAGCTGCAGCAGACAAGTGAAGGAGCACAGTGAGTCTGCACGTAGTTGCACATTTGTACTACTTCACAAAGTTTACAAATGCAGTTTTCAGCTATCACAATTTGGAGTAGTGTATTAAAACCACATTCTTTTAGCATAACGTGGTCACGGTAAAACATTTGTCGCGATGATAACCTTGAGTAAAATCCTCATGGTGCTGCAGGAGTGGGCAGGGTGGAGCTCCAGCAGCGTCTCCTCTGGACATTTGGATGTGGGGGAGAGGGAACAACAGTGACACACATCTCCATCTTCACTCTGAAAGAAACCATGGTGCAGAAGGAAGCTGAGTTCACGTTCATTTACACAGTCACGGCACAAGAATGTGTCAACAAATTTATATGATGGACATAAAAGAAACATTCCCATTTAAAAGCCACACATGCATAAACTGTATGCCATGGTAGACAGTGGACACCTGCTGCCACTGACCGTGACTCGGGCTAACACTTTAGCAAAGTTCTGCTGTAGTCGTAGTATTTTCTTGACATTTACCACACTTTACATCTGATATCAGACACAAGAGTCTGGTAAGCATCGATGGGATCTAATTAAAAATGAACAATTAAAATGAATTGCTTTGGCAAAGAAGCACAGGTGAGTAGACCCTGTGAGTAGAGTGAAACAGATAATCTACAACCAGTAGATCTGTAACCAGTGTTTCTTCACTGGCTTTTCTATGGACTTTTTTGTTCAGTTAAATAAATATGAAATGTAATTTGTCAAGATTTTTCTTGGGGAGATGGGGGGCAGGAGGGGTTTGAAGTTCCCCACATGTTCAAAATGGGAAATGACTAAATAAGTTTGAGAATCACTGCTCTATACAGTATTTTCCTGTTAGCATCGTGGTTTCATGTGTAGTAGATATACAAACAAATATATACATATGGTATGTATAGTATATGTGTACTATATGTTTATACGTAAGTGTGTTGGGCAGACATTAGATTGTGGTGAATAGCTTGAGGAAGAGATAATTCCTGGTGAATCTTTAAGATATTCCTTTATCTGTATTAAACCACCTTGTAAATAACTACACATTTTTTGAGTGTTCTTAAGTATCTTTTGTATTTATATATTCTAAATGATGTACCTGAAGTTTGCTTCACTAGAGCAATAGAAACAGAGGGAATAGTCCGAAATGCATCAATAAAAACACCCTAATATAATATATGACAAGGCAGCAGCCTCACCAGTTGGCAGCTGGTCATACTGGAAACCAGCTGGGCTCCTTGGCAGCACAGGATGAATCCAGCCAGATTGAGGAGCACACAGACCACAGACAGCAGGACAAAAACATTGACCTGCAGATGAAGGAGAGTGGAGGAAGAAGCAAGGTAAGATGAGTTATTATTGTACTGTGAACATGTGTTTACTCATCACATGTGCAATTGGCTGAAATCAATAGAAAGGAAGCAAAGTCCCAATGCAAGAACAAACAGAGCTGACCAATCATTAGGGGTGTAAGAGCACGTAAAGCCACAGTTTTGTACATACAACAGTACTGACACCATGGTTCGGTACATTTTTTGTAAATTATAAACAAATGACAAAGCATGTTGCTTTTATAGCATAGGTGAAACTCTGGTGTCTTACTTTTAGCAACTACTTTGCTATCTGTGCAGCATCTTACCCAAAATTCCAACATGTTTTCTCCATTAAAAAGCTTAGCCATTTAAAATAATATAAATATAAAAAAACTAAAGGAATACATGTGGCTCTTAAGTTGCAAAACTTTGAACTACAAGTATTTACTTCTGCCACAACAACAACATGTATTAAAACATTAGCATAACCAAAAATAAAATATTAAAATACATTTTAAAACAACAATACACCTACAGCATATCCACATTTAGCTAAAACCAATATCATGGTATTTTTTGGCATTAGCCAAAAAGTGGGTGGCTACAGCCTTCCATCCTACACCACCTCAAAACGGTCTCATAATTGTAATAATTCTCCTGCAGTGCATCCTTTTCAACACACTTAACATGTATCCTTTATCTATCTAACCTGCTGCACTTTCCTTCCTAGAGAAGGCGACACCAAATTGCTGTCTCTTACCAGCAGAAGCATAGGCTTCCTCCATGTCGTAAGTCCTACAATGCCAGACAGAATAACCTGCAAAGACAAGATTATAGTTTATATATAGACTATAGATTATTTGTAGGCTTTCAGTATCATTGTCTGAATGCAGCCCTTTAAAAACAGGCATTTACACAAACTGTACACAAGTCTGTGTAAAGATGTTTCGTTTGTACATACATTTTCTGTTGTACCGTCACGTATCTCTTAATAATAATAATAATAATAATATTGATAATAATGTCCTCATAAACAGACAAGACAATGTTTGACTTTAGAAGTCTACTGTTAATTTAGGAGTGAATTAATATTTTAGGAGCCAACTGCAGAGTAAGTGCTGAAATGCCATACACTCCCAGGTCACTTAAATAACATAATATGCATTATTTAAGATTAGTATGGAATTATCGATCGACCTCTCCAAAAAATCTCGCCTACCGTGTCTTTAATAGAAAGCAGTCTGAGTCTAGTTTGTGTTTTACATGATTTACGTCCGTGCGGGCAAATATTTATATCCACAAGTATTAAATTTCGTGTGATCACACCCGAGTGTGTCTCGGGTGTGATCACACACAACAACCTGAAAATCTGAAACCACGATGACTTCACCAGGCCCATGATAAACTTACCGAGGAGCCGGCCCAAAACGGACACGAGTTACGGATGGGGGGCGAGTTACTGAGAGACAGAGCGCCGAAAGATAGCGCCACCATGGAGCCACCGAGCAGCAGCTGCAGCAAGCCCAGGGAGAGCAGCGGGCGGCCGGGAAGAAGTAGCCGAGAATTACCGCTGGCGACCCGGGAGGAAGCAGACAAGCCGCGGGGTCGGTTTCGACAGAAGGGCTCAGCGAGCTGCGAGGTCCCCGTAACCGGACAGCAAGACCCCGGCAGCACCACTGGAAGAGACATCTGAGGCTCGTGGTCGGAATGGTAGAGGGTCAGGAGCAGAGTGGGAGAGGACAGAAGTGTCAGTGCAAAAGGCTGTTTTCACGAGTAAAAGAATAGCGGCTACAGAGGCTGTGCGGTGGTCCGACCATGACGGTGTACAGTCTGAAATAAGGCTCAGAGGCTGGGCTTAAATTGACTTTCACATATTTTGGCAGCAGCAGGTTGAGTGCAGGGTGAGGGGGGGAGGGGCAGGACAGACCATGTGTAACATGTAAACAGGGCAGAGGGGGGCGTCTTCTCCTCATCTTGGGATCATGGAGACTATAATGGAGAGCATATGATATGATAGAGAGGAGGAACACGAGCACAGCCACAGCTCATCTGTGCCTGCATGATAATAAGGATGCAGCCATGTTTACAAACACAACCCTATTTTATTTTCTCCAGGGGGCGCTCATAAACCGGCTCGAATGACGTGGTCTATTAGTAAAGCAATGCCACATATAGTATGTGGTATTTATAAACACCAATTGTATTAGTCGGCACCAGCTTTCTCACAACAACAAATCAAATATGTTTTCCCCCCATTCATTTGCAACAATGCATTATTTTAGGTTCATTTCATTTTAATTGTTTAGTTAACTCTGCATACGACTTTTTTTTTTACTTGAGTTGAAGTGGTGTTTGCAAGCATTAGCTGTGAAACGAGTCGGTACAGAAGTGGATGCTCTTACAGCCAAATATCTTTGTCGACCCATTAAATCAAATAAAAAATAAAGATTTCTAAAATAGTTTTTTTTCTTTTCTTTACTCTTTTGTAGCGCCTTTTAAAAGCCTCCTATGCTTTTGTGTGGTTAAATAATAATAATAATAATAATAATAATAATAAATAAAGTTCAACCTTAATTTTAACATTTGTTTTTGTTGTTGCTGCGACCTGACAACTTCCACACAATCAACAGCTGCCATTCATGTGAAATGATACAGAGCAGATTTAAATCAATTCTAGGATCACAGATCGATGATTGTTATATTTTTCATTGCATTTTCTTTTTTCAAAATCATATTATTTGAGACAGAGTGGTAACACCAAACACCTGTTTGTTTTATTTGAGTTATTTACTTTGTTTTGGGGAATTTGGAATTTATCAGCCAGTCTTGTAGACAAAGACTGGAAGAATAAAGGACCTCATTGGACTCTGTCTGACTAATATATATACATATATATATAATAATAATAATAATAATTGTTATTATTATTATTATTATTATTTTACTAAATGAAACCAGTTCGGACAAAGACAAAGAGTACTGATGTAAATCCTTCGTTTACACAGCTTGTGAATAAAAACTCCTTTGATAGACTGGATTATTTTTTATTACAACACTGTGTGGTACTATTAAACTGTATTGCATACACAGAAGTGTGTCCCATTAAAATAAATAGAGGGAACAACAGAACAGAAAACATATGAATGACTACTGGAAAGTATGTGTTACTTTCGTAGTACTGTTATAGCCCTGAAAAGACCAAGATAGAGAAATAAAACAATAGTTGAGTATTTACAGCAGTAGACTGGTATATATTTGGTGCTCTACTGAAGAGTTGTGTATATTTGGACAACTGTTAATAGAAGCATATGGCACAGAGGAAGAATACAGTATACTGTAGAACAGGCTTTGGATTCGCATATTACAGTACTTGTTGGGAGACATGTGTCTTTGTAACTGGATTTGTTGTTCCAAAGTGGTGTGTGTGTGTGTGGAGGGGTATCAGCGATATTTATTACTTCATACCGTCGGTTGTCAGAAAAGGCAGTGGGAGCCACCATGACAAAACAGGCAGAAGAGGGCGCTACTTTACCTGCACATTTATCATTGACAAACATCGTCCAAAATAAAACAGTTTTTGGTCGACTGTAATTCAAAGCTGGGATAGAAAAACAAAACAAAACAAAAATAAAAAAACAGCAAAAAACATGATGTATTCCTGACCACAGGGTAGGAAAATAATAAAACGTTTATGGCCCGTTCATAAGAAAGGTTATGTATTTACAAATCCACACAGTAAGATTGAAAAAAATACTCATTTATTTAAGTAATAGTTGTTTGTGTGAGATGTTTAAGGTTGAAACATAGAGGTTAAACTGTGTTTGGTCCAGTTGCCATCAGCAACCAACTGTCAGTGGGAACCAGTCTGAGGTGGACGAAACTAATTTAACAAGTTAACACAAGTTAATCCTGTTAAACTGATTAAATATGATCAAATCATTTTGAAATGTATTGCTTGTATCAGCCAATCAGAGCTTGGCTGACCACCTCACCTCTTCTTAAGGTTCTTCAACAGCAATGGTTTCTTACCAGTGGCTGCTTCCCTGTTGGTTGCTGAGTACTACTGGCTGTACTCCCTGTGAACTAGCAAAAGGGTTGTTTTATTTTCAGAATGTTCCACCTTTACATCTATGATAGCTCAGAGACTAACTCTGAGTTAATCTCTTCTTCTGAGGTCGTCACAGTGGATTATCTGCATAGTGATTGTGCCACAGGTTTTACGTTTACGATGGCCTGTGGAATGGAAACGTGTTGGGGTTAGGAATAGGCACATTGTGAGATTTGAACCTGCAACCTTTGTGGGAAGAAGGAACTCCCTAAGACTTAACTGCAACAATCACAATTCCTATAGTTGTTTCTTTGTTTCTATTAAACTGAAAACTTACATTTCTCTAGATTTAAAATAATGTCATTTATGTCAACGTCCAGATGAAGAAGGGCGTGGGTTTAAACCACACAAATGTTGTTTCTTAGTGTTTGCCTTTTTATTGTTCAAATCAAATGTGGTATTCTGTTTGTTGAAACATGCCAATGTTCTTTATGGACGTTATAGATGCAGACTGTAACAAACAAATTTGTTTTCATTCATGTTCCCTGTGGCAGTGAAGCTTTTTAAGACAGAGCATGTCTGTAACAGACCGGTTCCAATGTGATGTGAAGCATTTTGGGGGGATTTAGCCTTGACTGCATGTCAGAATCTCATACATCCACACCAAAGTATCAGCTCATGAAACGACCAAACTTTCCTGATAATTGAACACAGCACACAGGTGTGTGTCCAAACTTAAAATCCTTTGAATGCTCTACTGTATGGACAAATCGGGTCTAAAAGAACCACCTTCTCCACTGCCAATTCTCACACATGACAGAACTGGTGGCACAGAGGTGTAAACCCTATTTATTTATTTGTGTGAAACCTTCTTGTTGTTGGATGAAACAGTTGTGTGGGAACAGCATTAAGGTTTTGGTGTCAGTGATTCCCTGGATTACCTTTAAACTTGACAGCAGCAGAGGTTTTAGTCTGGCTGGGTGGCAGAGAGGGCAGAGGAGAGACAAACCAGTCCTCCAGGGATTAAGAAAGTAAAAGGCACTTTAGAAAAACTAACTTGAACAATAGACTTTATATATATATATATATATATATATATATATATATATATATATATATATATATAGGTGTATATATATATATATAGGTATATATATAAGTACTAGATACACTATATACTTTAAGTACAAACAGGCAATATAGGATGGAATGCATACATATTCTAGGATATAGTAGCAATATATACTTCTTTGTTATATATAGTTGTAAATGTTGATATATGACAATATCTGGCAACAGCAGGAGCATAGAAAAGAAGGGGTTAAATATTGTAAAGCGCACTGTGAACTTTGGGCTTAGGCGTGCAAACACGTGGCAATAGGTTTCAGTTGCTGTGCACAAACTGAAAAGTTGCATAGGCAAGAAAACAAGTGGTTTCCTAAACACTCCATCGTGACCATAAAATCCAAAGTAGCGTGTTAGAAAGAAAGGAAACATAATGTAAAAGTGGAAACAGTGTCTTCCCTTTGTCCAAAGATGTTTTCAAGGAGTACTTGGTTCTACGGGGGAGAAAATAAACATTTTCTCCATCCTTATCAGCGGTGGTCACAGTCTACAGTCAGCAGCTGGCCAGTGCAGGACTGTTGTATTTACAGTACGTAGGCAACAAGTACATGTACATCTAGGAGGCCCACAGGCTCCTACAGTTCAGTGTCCTGGTACTGATGGGAGTTGGCAGTGTAATATCCAGGCACTGCCTCCACTGATGTCTCCTCCTGCTCTGGTGGGTAGAAGGGACGCCCTTCTTTAGAGGATGGAGAGCTCTGAGACTCTGTGTGGGAGCTGGAGCTGAAAGGACAGAGAGCAAGGATATGAGTTCTGTTTATACCAAAGCTGTTTATTCAAGTGACACAGTTTGATGTGCCATCCAAAAGTTAAAAAAAAAATATGTACAGTATTTATTTAAAAATCTCCTGAATTAAAGTCTACACAATTTGGTAAGTTGCTTTTCTATTAGATAGTTCTGGACAGTTTTTCTTTGCCTCGTCCAAGAAAATAATCCACTTAGAGCTGGATTGGAATGAGTCGCAAAGCTTCAATAAAACAGGATTGATTTCCATATATATGTATACACATATGTGTGTATTTATATGTATATGTAGTGCAGTGATCACTGGTTAACAGGATACAAAGGCATAAGCGTAGCAGCTCCACAGTATTTATATAAATTATTTCTGATTATTTCTATATCTTCAGTCTGTTTGTAATTTTGAACTGCATTATTAACAAATACCGGCAAAATAAATGTCATTCAAGTAATATAAACTCACCCGATTGGCTGAGGCCGACTATAATCCAGTTTGGCCGTCTTTAGAGGAACAGCATAGATCTCTGGGTGGCTCTGAACTATTTCTAACTGGAAACAGAAGAGGGGATTAGTATACATAAATACAATTACAACCCAGAACTGAACAATCTTCTTCCACTTTAACTGTGGCTAAAACTGCAGCAGTGACTGCTGTTCAGAACTACAGTAACTGTGTTTCTTTTTAAATTATAACTGACAATCCAGATGAAGATCAACAGCTCTGAGCTCATCCTACCCTGGCGCTGTGTGCCTCCTGTATTTGCAGCAGCCTGTGTGTCCGTGCTAAGTGATCCATCTTCTCGAAGGCCTTGATCTTCCCCAGGAAAGACCTCATTGAAGGATCCTCCACTGTGTTGTCTTCCGTGGCCTTCTCTCGCTGCCTAAAGGTTGTCTCGTTCATACACGGTGAGACCAAGGATGAGTGAGTCAAAGCCTCTGTTGTGCTCCTGCAGCTGCTGGGTGGGGTTGGTGGCCCTGCATGAAACTGTGGTGCCTCTCCCAGGTGCTGCAGTTTTTTGGAGGTGGTGAGGTGATGAGGCGGGGGTGGAGGCAGAGGTGTGTACAGGGCATCTGTATGAGAGATGAGTGGTGGAGGATCGTTGTTGCTGCTTGCAGGGCTGCTGCTGGATGGAGAGTCGTAGCTTCTGCTGGAGCTTGGTGGTGGAGAGCGGTACTGGCGAGGATGATGGTGATGGTGATGTTGGTGGACGATACCAGACAAAAAGACTGGATTGTCTCTCAAAGACAGTTTCACCTGATCAAAGGGGTGTGGGGGGTATTCGAGACAGCAATCATATTAGACAGAAAAAAACTATAAAACAATCTGTCAAAAGTAGTGGGTAAAAATACACCCAGGCCCAGAGTTCTCAATGACAAACTCTGAATGTAGATTCAGAACATAAGTACAAGCAGTACCACACTTTGCCATTATATACATAATATATTTCTAAATAATACTCGGTAATAAAATTTCTAGAAATTAATTAGTGGTAGCAAAATGGTAGCTTTTGAGATTGACTTCAACATCTGATTAAATATGACAATTATTTTAGATGGAACATTACAGTGGTGATAAAAATACATCAATGCAGCAAATGTCAACAAGATGCCATGGGATCATGGGGAAATGATTGAAAAAAGAAGCAAGTAAAAAGATCGCAAAAAGAAGTCTATGGGAGATTTTCTTAAAAATAGTGGTATAGTGCTGGATTCAAAATTTTTGTTGTGACCCGCCATTAATTCACGAATCCTGTCTTGGACTTGAACATCATTAGTAGGATTGGTGTGACATTAATTTTCAATGTTGCATTCTATTCAAAGAGGTTTATAAAGCTATCAGTTTTAAGGAAGTCTGTTATAGAATTTGAGTTGACAGTATGTCATAATGAGTCTATATATTTGCGTCTAATTTTCGTCTAATAACCTGTAGCAGTCACAACTGAGGAACATAACAGACCTTTGTAAAAAAAAATCTGCACTACTGTTTTTAAAAAAGAAAAACAATAATAACATTTTGATCATGTAAAAAATGGGCAGATAAACATAGTTTCTTCTAACCTTGCTCTCTGACAATGAGGCTGCTGGAGGACTGGACCGTTTCAGCACTTCCCGACAGCTGACTTTTCTCATGCGACTCCTGATTTCTGGACTATATCTGCGCAAGATCTACAAAATAACAGGTGAAATAGAAGTTAGTTTGAGCAGTTAAGTGCAAAGGGAGAGCGAAATAAAACACCATGAGGACTAACAAATATGTAACTAATTCAAAATACACAGCTTTATTTTCTCTGTGCAGCTCATAACCAAAAATAATCTACTAAACTATGTTTTTTTGGATTATGATTTTACAAATTAATATTTCATGGACAGATGGGACAGTTTTGTTCCTTGACTCCTCACATGAATTGAAATCACTGCACTTCCCTGGTAAAGACAGCCGCACAGATCTACGTGTGCTCCTCTCACCTCCTCGGCCGTCACAGGTTCAGACGAGCGACTTATGGCCGACATTTGCATCATCTCCACATCGTGTTCGTTGTCTGTGTAGCATCCGCCCTCATCAGCAGTGTCATCCAGGTCAGACGTCAGCCGGCTGTCCATGCTAAGATAGTCGACAGACAGGGCAGACAGGAAGGAGAGACGCTCCACATCCTGGCAGTCCAGATCAGTCTCTACTCCCTCCAGCTAAAAGAGACACATGATGGATCTTGGGTGTACAGGAAGGAAGGACAGACGGACAGAGAGAAAGACAAACAGCACGAGAACAAAAGAGAAAAAGACAAACAAAAAACCAAACTGTAGAGTACTACCGGCAGGAAGTAAAAAGTAAAGGTCAAGTCCTAATGTCCACCTTAACAGACTTGAGGCTGGTCTCTAAAAGTCGACATTTATAGGCTAAACGTTGTAACTAAAATATAGACAGAGGTAATTCAGTTGAAAAACAAACAAACATTTGACTTATTTGTGACTATGTGGAATATAAATTCTCAGTGAAACACTTTCTTAGCCCTGACCCATCATGACAGGTGATGTCATAAAAGAGTTAAGACCCTAATGCACTGATGTTGAAGGTGGACAGTGGGACTGGACCACCGTGAACAGCTTCAGACAGCACCTTCACACAGGCCAGCACCAGCATGTCTCTTGTTCTGGCTACAGTTCTTTTTAAGTTTACGTGTGCTGAGATCTGCAAAACAGAACTAGAGTCACTTCCACCTCGTTTTTGAATATCTCGGTTTTCTTCTTCTTAAAATTCAGAAGAAGTTTGTCTTATTTAAGAACTGATAAAAAAAATACTCAAGAATATTTTACGGCAAGATTAAATTAATTTTCAGATTCTGAGCAAATTGTTTTTCCAGTGCGGTGGCGCTGTAAGTTTGAAATTTACACTTAAGTTAATGGAAGTGTGTAGGAGTGGTGCCTGTGTGAAAGTGCTCTGAGTGAACACACATGCTACGAAGGAGGCAGGAAGACAGGAGGATGGCAGATCATTTACAAACTAAAGCTAGTAAAGAGAATGGCATTTTATTTTATTCAAAGCAAATGGTCATTTGACTGGGTCAAATATAACTGATACCATATGATACCAGTTATATAAGATATATACAAGATATTTTTGGAATAAAGAACAGAATGTTTGAAAAAAGGAGAAATGTTTTGGAATATTTATTTTTTTCGAAAAGAAGCCTTTTGGTAATAATTTATTTACCCCAAATTCTGCAATTAGCACTTTCATCATCATCACAACATGATAAACAGCATTAGACTTTAGTTTGGGTTGTAAACTGTGAGACACACTGAGCCTTCACTGATAGTTCCATGTGAATGTTTGCTGCTCTTACCTTGCCGTCAGAAACCCAGACAGCTTGCATCTGCTGTTCTCTGATGGAGTCTTTGATGCTGCCGTACCAGCCATCGTTTGCTGAGTTCAGATCGATGGTGGCTAAAATCACAATAACACATTTACAGTCGGTAAAATACATCCACTAGGCTGCAGTCGCTGCACAACACACTGGAATAAATACAGTTACTGTAATAGGTATTTTATAAACCCTCGGCTCATATATGATGGTAAACTGAACATGTATTTAGTTTGGTAATTTAGTATACTAAATAAAAGAGAAAATAATTTATTAACACAGACCAGCCCACCTATGTGGTCACAGAGTGTGGCAGTTGCAGGATTCCATTGTATATTTCACACATGCCTCACACAGCTGCCTGATAGGGAGGAAGTCCTGAGTTCGAGCCCCAGAGTGCTTAAGATGGGGCCTCCTGTTTTGTTTTGTTTTGTGTTATTTTTATGTTCACGGGGGCTAGCACATCAGATTAATCAAATTTTGTAGAGTTTGTCATTATTTGGGAAAAAATATCAAAGGAATGTAATTTTATTTTCTTTTTTGTTGCAGCCTTTTAAATGAAGTTCAGTGGTGTTTTGAAGGAACAGTGAATGTGAAAAAAAAATTCTATATTGTTCTATAATTCTATAATGTCAGTCTCCCTGCCCCTCCGCTGTGTAATTAGTATCATCACTCTCACTTGTGTCTCTGTCATCAGTCTCACTGGTGTCACCTGGTGCCCTGTGTATATATATACACCTCTCTCCCTCACTCAGTCTTTGTTGGATCACTGTGATTGGGGTCTGTTCATGGTCATTGTGATGTTTCATTGTTCCTATGTTCTTTGTTCCTTGTTCCTTGTTCCTAGTTCCTAGTTACTGGTTTATGTATGTTTGCTGTTGTTCTGCCTGGTCCTGTTCCAGTGAGTTTAAGTTGAACTGTTTTTGATAAACTTTCTGCACCTCTTCAATGTCTCTCTTATGCTGCATTTGGGTCCTGCCTGCTTCCCAATGTCATAATACATACCATTAACTATACTCAGTTACGTTGACAAACACAATAACATACATAGTTTTGCTGACTTTCTCATATCAGCTAACTTGCTGACCAATAACTGATTTTAGCTTCCCCTTACTAAGTACATAACCTATAGTACTACAACAAAAACCTGGAATAGACCCTTCTTTCAGACATTTGGTTTAGACATTTGATTGTTGTTTGCCCCGGACCACATCTACATTCTGCCCCTGTTGCTGGCTGTACCAGTGAACAAGTAAGAGCAGGTCTTCCTCAGTTTGACGGCCTGCTCGTAGAGTTTGCGGGAACTGCGGTTGGAACTGGGGATGATCCTCTGTCTCATGGCTTTGATGCCGTGCTTGCTGTCAGGGTTGAAGAAGATGACGATCGGGTACCACTGGGTGTAGTTCAGGGTGTCCACAGCTTTAGGTGTGACATCCAGCAGAGCGTGTTTGTCCTGTAAGGGGAGACAAAAACACTTGGTTATGGGGAGCATCACGCAGATTTTCTTTATTTTGTTTGTAGGAAATGAGTCGTGAGTGAAGATTTTAAAGAAAATTATTGTTGAAAAAAGTGCTTTACAGGAAACACTAAAAATAATAAGCCTCAAGTCACTCTGAAAGTCAATATCAAAGACCGCGCTTCATCACATCCATGAATATCAGTGGTCCCACTGTGACGATACTGGAGGCTGATTAAATAAAGCAGAGACAAGAGTGGGAGCACACTGGGGACTCAGGGGACCCCAGAAAATTGGATGAGAAAGGGAAGAGCAGAAAAAAATGCATAAAATAAAAAAAAATAAAAAAAATCTATAAAAATATATATATTTTTTTAATAACAATTTATAATGTTGGGTTCTCAATTTTCCAATGGTACATGAATGCACCTCGTATAACTGCTGCAACTGGCACTTTAGTGGGAATACACTGGGCTAAGAGTATGTTTGCTAATAAATTAGCCGATGTAAAATTAGATGATCTCAAATGTAATACTTATTGGATAGTGAATACAAGTTAGAAAATACATTCTAATAGTTGATGTTTCTTTATATATTTAATAGCATGGTCTGTAAGTTTGCGAAGGTGGTCCCCGCCATAAACTAATGCTGTTTGAGGGGCCTTGGCATGGAAAGGTTTGGGAACCCTTGGTGTATAAGACATTGCTAATCCTGTGGCCTTTAGAATAGCATGATGAAGTCATGATACAAATCAAATGAGTTTATAATTTGGTACCTGCTCAATGATTTGTCGAATAGTGTTCAGTCGCACCACACCTGAGGATTTTTCACATCCGGCGTCCTTTGGCTCAGTTTCTACCAAAGCAAAACACAAACTGTTTGACTGCTGCTAATTACGCACAAACACACACAGAGGGAGATAGACACTCACTGGCAATTACAAACAAATCTGGCATCTCAGAAGCCAGTCTCTCAGTAGCAGCATCAGCGATGGGTCCAAACAGGACAACGGGGCGTCGAAAACCAGCTGCAATAAAACACCAGTACCGGTTGCTTTGTTGTGAGCTTGTCAATAAATAAAATTAATAAAAACATTGTCTTGCATGCCGGTCAATCACCCTCTCGAAGCACCACTCGTTCATATGCAGGGAAACGTGTAGCAAGGCTCTGACTGCAGAGGTTTTCTCTGGTTCTCTTTAAGTCCTTTCTCTTCAGAGAACGTTGGCTTCTTAGACGCCAGAAGTCGGCACGGTCCCCGGCAACAACCTTATGAGCAGTCTGGACACTGGCCATCTGCTCAGCCCTAAAAGAAGTCACACCAAATACTTTAGTGTAGACAAACATACACACATGTTTTTTTTTAACTACGGTAAATAGATAAGAACAACACTTATCAGGACAAGTGTTTTATGTTGCAGTGCCCCTGTAATAACATTTTGAGCAAACCTAATATCCCAAATTGCGGGAAAAAGTTTAAATATAAAACATAAGGTTACATATTGCTCCTGTCAACAGTTAAACTAAGGTCATGCCTGCTCTTGTTGGGGATGATGCCTTTCTCCAGAAGCTGCTTGTCCTGGCCAACACGGATGGCTAACCAGTTCCCGAGTTTGCCATCATAAAGCGTGTCCACCACCTTGAAGATGTCCCCTCGGCTGAAGCCCAAGCTCTGAGGAGTCTCCTTTTCATACTCAAAGTGGGTGCGGATAAAGAACGAGTCTCCACGCCCCGACACCAAGATATCATTATAAACTAGACACACAAAAGAAATAAAAGCATGAACAGATTTAATTTCTCCGGTCAGGCTCAAGCTGTTCTGAAAATATGACTGATTTGAAAAAACTAACAACACATAAAACATTGTAATTCAAATAAATAAATAAAAAACCTGCAGTAGTAATAGTAAACAAATTTGCATATACAACAATAAATTTCCATATTTTCCCATCTTGCAGGTTTTTTAGAGCAGATTATTGTGCACATGTTCATGTGTGTCATTGTTGTCTGAACCGAAAAAATCCAGTCTGATCTGGTTTTAAAGCCTGGAGGAGCCGAGCTGGTGTTTCTGTTATTACACTCAAGCATGAGGGAATCAAAAGTAAAATGAGGACAGACACTGTATTCTTCCTTTTTAAACTATGGCACAGTAAACACCCCAATATATCTTTAAAAAAATGTTTTGAATTCTTACAGTTCTTCAGATGTTAAAAAGGTGCACAGAGCTGAAATGTTTCTGAGTAAATTTGTATTTAATGCACTGTGAGAACTCAATTGAAAAGCTTTGTTTTGTTTCATACATCATACTTAAGTGTGGGAATCTAACCTGGACTTTACTATTGAAGGAAAAGTGTTATTGAAGGAAAAGTTTTACCGTCAAGTTTACTCTGAGCAAGGATGGTGACCACGTCCCCTTTAGGAATCTCCAACAAGAAGAGCACAGCTTCTTCTCTCACTACGCCTTGAAAGTTGACATTGTTCACCTTGAACGCACAGAGAGCACAACAGTGAGGATGGCCAACTGACAACTCTTTGTTTAGACTGTGTAGGTCAGTGGTTTTCTACTGTTATTATGTTCTGTAAAGACCTTTAGGATCTGGTCACCGACGTTCAGACCCTCTTCCTCAGCAGGGCTGCCCTCCTGAACACCAGCAATGAAGATTCCGACATCATTACCTCCAGCTAATCTCAGACCAACACTGTCTCCTTTTTGGAAGTTCACCATCACTGTGTTTGGACTGAAAGACAACAAAAAAAATGTGCATTTTTAACAAAACAATTTCCCTCATGGTGATAAAATACACTTAATCTTTTTTACTTTTACTGCTGGGACTAAATGCTGTGCTGTTGAGACAATGTTTATGCTGCTCGGTGCTTTAAAACGGAAATAAACGTACAATAATAAAATAACAAGTTTAAGGAAGAAAAAAAACTCACCCATACAATTTTTCGTCTTCTGAACTTGGTCGGAGAAGTATCTTGGGTGTAGTTGTTACAGCAGCTGTCAGTAAAAACATTTAGAAGAATGTTGTAGTTCATTAAACCACATCTTTAGGCAGAAAACTCCAGTTTCTTATTAATGATTTTGTGGTGTCTCACACGGTTTTGGTCTGGTTTCACATTTTTCTGGATCCAGATTTTGATCCACCACAACTCATTCCTTCCACTTGAACTAATACATCTGCTGCTTCATTTGTCTTGATCCAGTACACCTTTATTCCTTTTCCACCTGCTCCCTACTCTCACCATAAATTATATCTGCAAACACAATTTTATAATTGGAATAATTGGCTTCATAACTGTATTCAAAAATCGTGAGGTACTGACTGAACATAAAGTTCCTTAAAAATATATGTTTAAAAATAGTGTTTAAATAGTTTAAAAATAGTGCAAAAATAAAACAAATGTATCGAAAATTGTTGGAATTATTGTATGCATGTAGCCATGGACATATGTACCTTGAGTACCACCAGCACTAAGTTTTATAATAACATTGAATTAAAAACATCAAATACATCAAATGTATATTCTAAAACAGTGGCCCTCAACCCCAGTCCGGGGACCAGTGCTGGTCCATAGGTCAGTTGGTACCAGGCCGCAGTGGGACACAGTGAAAATATGTACTGCTGATACCGGCCAACTGGTCCTTGGTACAAAAAATTTTGAGGACGGCTGTTCTATAACATGTTGACAGAAACTGTACCTTGAGGCTCCTCTGCTGGATCTGCGTCGACATCGACCGATGCTTTAGGCTCCACAGGTACTTGGAACGGAGAGGCCATGGCCGACATCTTGGGTGTCCTTGCGTGTTCTTCCCTGTCACACAAAGGTCTTTTGTTACTGCATCAGTCTATAAAACTGTCACTCTGTGTTGTACTGATACTTTCTTCTGCCCCTGACTCAGCCATCTAGGTTTGTCTCCATCTTACAGTACCTGGCGTTGTCTCTTTCATTGGAGGAGTGGGAGGACAGATCAGACTGGTGGGACCTTCTGTCCTCAGGAGGGGAATAAGAATGGAACGACTCCATCTCTGAGATGTCTACAAGATAGACAGAAAGACATCAAATTAAAGTGTGACTACACTCTTGTTCAAAACTCCACCAAAAACACCACCACCAGAGAAGGCTCCCCTCAGGGAGTCACAACACCAGCTAATTAGCACATTTAGAGTGAGGCAGGTATTAGACATGGAGGTCAGGAATATGGCCATAAAACTGGTGCCAGCAATCCAAGTTTGAGATAAAAGCAGCTGCAATTCAACTCGTGTATTGAAATACATGTCAGGCAACCTTTTCATGAACTCCTGTTGAGCATTTTAAATGTATATCTGGTCATGTGTTTAAAATATGAACTGAAAATTAAAGCCTATGCTCTGGTTTGAGACACCATCTAAAAAAGCTACTTTGTTCCAGTTGTAGCATACAATGGACATCATATTGCTGATGAACAAACATTATTTCTGACAATCTAAGTACAAGATAATTTATCTTCAAATATTATATGAAATTAAACTTCACATTCTCTTTGTAGTTCTCAGAACTCCAGAATCTCCATGATGAGAACATTGAAGATTGTGGCTCCAGTATTGCTGGACAGTGTTCCTTATTCTGTTTCTATTGGTCTACTTTTTATAAACAGTCTATACCGTAATCAAACACGCTTTATGATCTGTGTACAATGACTTTAACATTTCAAGCACACGTCCTTATCTACTGGCTTGTATTTTGATTAATTTTGGACTGCTTTTATCCAACATGTCTATAAAAACAAAACAAGGCTGGAGATGGAGGCTTTGACAGAGACCCGTCACCAACAAACCAGAGACGTGACAACATGAGCAAAGGTCCTGTTTAAGAAAAGCAGATTTTTCAAAAGCAGCAGCAAATCTCCTGCTNCCAGGCTGTAGCAAACCCTGTTAAAAGTCAACAACTGGCTGATGTTTAACAGGACTGTGCTTCTTTGCGACTTTGAGCAGCTTATTGGTACCTTTTAAAAAAGCAAGTAGTCAGTAAGAAAGGGAGAGGAAAGCTGGTCAGTGGGGGGTTGATTAGTTTGATTAGAGAGGCAAACACTCTGCATGCAGGGTTGTTATCTACCACTGGGGAGAGAAAAGTGAGAACGAAGCATCGAAGGGGAAGCAGCTGTTAACAAGAGAGAAAGATTTATAATTAAAAAGACGAGAGAAAATAAATTAGAAATTCAAGTTTTAAGTCTCAAACCTGATATGAAGAGGCTCCTCCAAACTGCTGAGAACCACCTTGAACTATTCCCATAGTGGATCATGTTACTGTGATTATATTGTACCATCACTCTCATCATATTCAACAGTGACAATCGGGCCAAACAACATATAGTTCTCAGTCATGGGATGCAAGATTCTTAATGAGCTGATTGGTGATGCTATTTTCCTTATAGGTGTGAATATACATTATCGGGAGTTTTAACGCAATGGCTTTGAATGAGTTGATGTGGCGGGGGCACAACTGTAGTCTACAAAAGCAGGGCAACGCAGAAAAAAGTAAAAAAATAAAAAAATAAATAAACTGATAGAGGGCAGCAGAGGAGCTCCATTTAACTTTATTTCCTAGGAGCTCTAGGAAGTGAAGCAAAAAAAACAAAAAAAACAAACAAACATTAGTTTTCATTCTAACAGCAATATCTACTGATAAACACATTATTAAAGTATAAATAAAAACTTGAGATATAGAGTCTATATGAGGTTGGACTTTTATTGTCCTTGTATCCCTTGCTGGCAGACATATTTTCACTATTACCATGCTCATATAGGCAGTGGACTTTTTAATAAGAGAGAAGTTCCTCAAACCCTAAAAAAGACACATTTATAGGTTTGGTTACAACTATGCTAGGTTACTACTAGCATATAAACTAACTGTTTATATTTTAATGGAGGCGGTGCTAACTGCCAACTACAAGATGCCAGGAAATGGATTGATCTGAAAACACCACAATTTTAAAAGATCCACTCCCTTATTTAATTACTAAATGAAGATTGATATATACAACTTAAAATATTATTTCAACTGATAAGATAATCCAGTAACTGATTTTTTTATTTGTTATGGCAAACAGGCAAAATACAAATCAATAACATTATACATTGATTATAAAATAATTTTAATAATATCTCAGTCAGTTTTCTAGTAATTCACAATTGACCAGTTCCCACCTGACCACTCTAATGTGTGAGAAAGATAAGAGACGGGAGTTTAAGGACACCTTGAATACAGAGGACAGCCTTGGGACAAAACATCATTATTATGTTAGGACAATAAAAATGTAGCATAGTCTTACCTACTGAAATGAGTCACCCGTTAGCATGCAATATTCTGTATTCACAAAAATAATTCAAGACTTGTCTGAAAGAAAATAATTAAGGTTCCATCATCAGACTGCTGACATCATTTTGATATATAAAGCATTCATCTGCATAAACCAGCTGCCAGATTGTTATCACAAGCAGGGATCGACTTGTGCATTTAATGATTCAACACATTTCAACAGTGACATGGGTTTAATCACATTTATTTCATAAAAAAAAAAAAAAGGAGTTGCAAACTGTAGGAAAGAGTTAAAAGATTTAGAGAAAAGTGCAAAAATGGGGAGAAAAGTTGTGTCACAGCCATTTTACAGCTTAGTGAAAGGCAACAGGCTGTCTACACATGCTGTTTCTGGGCTGCTCCTTCATCTAAAAGTAGGACATAGTATTATCTGCAAGAGAAAGCACAAAAAAGATGGCACCTTTTGAGCGATTACAGTGATCGCTTCTGTTTCTCCAGACGAAATCAATATCACCATTTTTGTGGTCAGATTTCACAACGAGGGGTTGAAGCCTGTTCCTAAGGTATATTTGAATGTAGTAAATCTTAATGTGGGAAGAAACTTTAGACACCTCAGATTTAATTTAAGGGGTCATTTTTTAAGCTTTTCTGGATGTTAAAGACAGTTAACTGCAAGTTTTTCTCTGTTAAGTTGTCTGGTCAAACCAACATACAACCATCCAGGTGAACTGGTGACCACTGTGGGTAAATGTATAAGGCAGTGTACTAGTTATTACAAGGACTTAAACATTGTTCATAATTTAATACATCACCAAGTGCAGCATTCAGGCCTCTGACTCACCATCATTCTCAGAGTCAGAGTCTGCTAGAGGAGGTATGCGGACGAGGATTTGGCGGCGGTCCCTCTGGACCACCAGCTGCAGCTTCCCTCTGGACTTCTCAATGAGCTTCCCAGCATCATGCAGAGAGAGGTTCTCTGTCACGGTACCATTGATCTGTGCACATACATAAGAAAGTGGTTAGACAGTGGTTACACGGTGGTCTAGAAACACAAATAAAAAAAGTGATTTGCTGCTTCACAGATAAAGCTGAGCTGCAGGGATTATAGTAGTGACTCTCCCCAGATCTCTTAATTGCCTCTTAAAGACCCACTGATCCCAGAGTTGAGGAAAAACTGTGCAAGATGAGATAATGAGATAAGTGTACTGTGATCTGTACTTTCAAAATGATGTCTCCTTCATGAAGGCTTCCATCCTTGGCCGCCAGGCCTGTGCTGGTCATCTGTTTGATGAAGATCTGACTCCCCAGGCGAAGACCATACTCTGTTCAAACAGACACCAAAGAGTTGTACACTGTGAAGGGCAACAAGGTGAAAACAACATAAAAGTTCTCGTGGTTTTTTCCTCATAAACCTAAGACTGAATTTCAGGAAAGTGAGACAGTTTTGTAAAATAGATGGACAAATAAGAGTTTTCCCAATACGATGTTTTACAAACAGATTGAAGTGGTGTAGTGTGTTAAAATTAAAAGTGTGGTTTCACTGTGAGTAGTTTCACTGTGAGTACCACCTTTTAATTTGTGTCCTCACCAATGCTGAGTACAGGACAAATACCCATACTTGGGTTTCAATAAATAAAGAACTGGCACAGCTCTGTGGGTAATGGGGTAACCATTTTGTGCAGTGTGTGCACTTTACCCAAACCATACTGAGGTCACCAAGCTAGAACATGCTAGAAGCCAGTTTTATTAGAAAATAAAATTCTGTATGAAGCGAAAGCTGATGAACTGACAGTTGTCAATATAATACACAATACATAAATAAAATTAAGGATAAAGTAAATCAAAACAATATAGAAAGAAAACTAAATCAAATAACAGAAAGTGAGCAGACAAACGCATTTCAATTATTAATTTTATTACTAAATTTAATTTGACTAATGAATGACTAATTAGACTAATGAATACTGATTAAAACTACTAGTTTAAGTTTTTTTTGTTTTTGTTTTTTACCTTCACTAGGTCTGTTTTTCACCAGCAGGACATTTACAGGTTTCTCCAGTGGCTCCAGATCTCTGCTACGTTCTGGAGATGGAGAGTGGTCATCAAGCCGGTCTCTGCTCCTATATCGCCCTCCTTTTCCTCGTTCATACTTGTCCTCCGGGCGGTAGTTGTCGTCAGGACTTCGTTCTCTGCTGTGATACTGCTGACGATCACCGGTGTCCAGGGTTCGTTCCCTACTGCCATCTCTCCTTGCTCTGTCCAGGCTGGAGGCTCGCTCTGGGCTCCTCCCACGGCTCCTCCCTCTCTGGTTGTAGTCCTGCCCCCCCCTGTACTCAGGCTCCAGGTAACCTTTGCCCTCAGAGGTATGATCCCGCCCTTCACCATGGTACCAGCTGTTGTCATTGTCTGCATCATAGTAGTGGCTGGAGGGGGTGTACTCCCGACTGTCCCCACTTGGTGATGGAGGCTGCTTCATGTGAACGGCCATTTTACGAGGTCTCTTCACTATCTAAATAGATAAAAACATCGTTATGAATTTTAGTTAAATTTCATTCTGGCACTGTAATATTTGGTTAAAACATATAAAATAACTCTGGGTTTTTACTGTGCCGTGATACTACTCACTATTTTAGCCACTTTGCCACATTTACGGAGAGACTGCACAGCAAAGGAATGAGGCACATTATCCATAGAGGTGGAGTTGACCTGAATGACACGATCATTCTCTCTGAACCATGAAAGAGAAACATCAAAAAATAATTTAAATTAGTAAGTGTCCTCTACTTAAACTGTTTTTTGCAACCAAACCTTTTTTGCACTTCTGCAATGATTACTAAAGTGCGGCAGAGTGTTGAATAGTATATACTCATACTCATAAAGGAAGTAAAACTACTAGAATAACCTGTTTTCTTCTCCTCTTTCACTCAGGATTGAAAATGAATCGTTTTTAATGTGAAAATCAACTAAATTCACAATTTAAAAAACGAAACTGTGTTAAGTTTCAGCCTCTGGTTTTTAGGAGTAATTGTGTAAAAAGCCTCAGCACATTCACATGTATTGATGTGTCAGTGTGCATGTGCCTGAGTGGTAAGATGAGGGCAGAGGAAACCACTGTGGTTTTACACATTAAACCGTTTAACACAGAGAGTTAGAAGTAATTCCCACAGCAGGTCTGTTCTAATTAAACACCAGCTTTAATCTACAGCTGAGGTCAGCGACAGAGCTGCTCTGTTTTGGAGCCAGCTATTCAAGAAGCCAAAGTCCTGCAGGGAGTGTAATTTTGACTTAAAGGATAACTTCATATCTCTGGTTGATAAGGGACAGAATTATTACATTTTATCACAGAACACACAAAACTCACATGAGCCCTATTAACTGGACTAGAATTTCAGTTATTTTTCAAAATGTTCCCAAACTGTCTAAACTTTGTTTAAAAGATTTGAGGTTTTCACTTATGATGATACTTATGTTATATCTGTGCTCTGATATGAAAAGCATTTCCCTTCACAAACATCAGTGAATCTCAAAAGTAGGATGAAAATAAGAGAAAAAAATAATTGTATTAAAATTAGATCTAACCAGTAAACATCAGATAAATCAGGGGTTACATAAGGTAGCACACTTACAAGAGTAGACCATCAGCTGGGCCCCCTTTTAGCACATCTGAGACGATGATCGATGTCTCCCCATTCTCCACATTGGGGTTGTCCCGTCCACCTGACACAGCAATACCAAAACCCATTTTGGAGTCCTACAGGAAATAAAAAACAGTCATACAAAATGTCTGTGAACAAAAACCTGACCTGTAACCTTGTTAACGCCAAGTTCTGTTGTTTAACTGTATAAATGAACTTGTTTAAAATAAACTCAATGGCCTCCTTATCAGGTTGATGCATATCTTATCAACTAATCACAGCCGCTATTCTGTGGTTAAAAATAGGTCGAGATGTTCAAAATGAAGAGAGGTCTGCAATGGGAAAGAAAGCTGCATTTTAAAGCACATACAGAGTGTCTGTACCATCTTTTAGTATGTATCAGCCATCCATATATTTATAAAGATTTAGCATGATAAATCAATAAAGGCTTAAGAGAGCTAGCTTATCTGTGCTAGCTAGGCTAAGCTTTCCTTTTCTTTATTTCTCCAAAGACAAAATTGCCAAATCTTTGAAACGATTAAATCACTTGTCATGTCTCAGGTTTTAAATGAAATGAAAGAGTAGGAAGTGCCTGTTGGGGCTGCTGGTCTGAACTCTTAAACACCTCTGCTTGCTTTGTTACACATTTGCGTTTTTTTTCCACTGGAGAATATTGACTTGACAGATTTCAGCAGTGGGAACAAACCAAGGTGGATTATCTGGGGTCAGGATATTCTTATTTTTAGAAAAATGCTCATTTGCATTGTAGACTTGTGTCAATATAGAGAAGTGAGTAATAGATTTCAGCTTTGGAGGGCATGCGAAAGTTGAAAGGTTTCATTTCCTGACTGCGATGTCCTTTAAAAGTAGGTTATATTTAATCTCCAGGAATAAGATTGATGTTACGGAGTAAAACATCAATTTCCATCACCAAAATCTACAGAGAACAGTAATGATTGTAAATCATGGCAGACAGACATTGTCGATTTACCACTGCAACTATCAATGAATCTACTGTATTTGACTTTGACATTGTAAGTTTAGATGAATTAACAATTGCATGTGGACTCACCCGCTGCAGAGTGACCGTGTACTGCTCCCACACCATCTCTTCTACACCCGAACTCTGTAGAGAACAAACACGACATATTTTTAGATACAGGAGGCCCAAATGTTCTTGTTAAAGTTAATGTTCCATTGACTAAACTACAAATATGGTAATAATTCTGGTATTCTAGACCAGTGTTTCCCAAACCTTTTTTCTGGAGACCCATATTTTAAATGTCATAAAACCTTGTGACTCAAGTCATTAGTCATTTTACGTAAACTCCTGGGAAACATGATGTGAGACGACCCCCCCCCCCAAAAAAAAAAATTGCGACCCACTTAAGGCAAGCAGAAAGTCTTCAATACTTGATAAAACTTGATTTTGGAGTTATGACTGTTAGTAATTGAAATAAATAACAAGATTGTGCAATATTAAAATGTCAAAGAAAAGTAGCTGAATAAAGACAATGAGCAGAGGAGCAACAGCTTGTAAAGAACAAAGACAACACCACAGCTGAAGCGTTTTCAGCATTTTCTGAAAGCACTGGATGTTGATTTGCAGTTGAAAGTACAGTACGTCTAATGCTAAGACGGCAGTGCTAGAACCACAGACTGCACCTTTCAACATTGGTAAAAAACCAAAACATTTCACACACTAAAGAATGTATTGAAATATATATCCTAACTATCTATGCTTTGTTATTCCTCAATATAAAATGGACAACTATTATACAATTTTATTAAAATATATATACGACTCCCATTCCACAGGCTGTCACATCTAGTTACATGTTTTGCCTCCAGTTCTTACTCTATAATTTTAGTTGTATATAAAGTACACTATAGTATGTACAGTATGTCCAAAACTACTGCTTCTTTATCCCTTTTTTTTAAAAGTGAACATGCATATAAACATTAAACGACAGCATTATTTGCCTTGTTCACGATCACGTTCAAGGAAACTTTGCATAAGCAGTGAATCGTCATCCTTCCAGACCTAACAGCTTTTCTTAATCATAATCAAAGATATTCCAGTCCCACTCTTCATACACCGACACGGGGTAATCGTCATGATAGTGAGGCAAGGTAGTTATGGGATAGTAGTGTGGACAGGGAAAAAGGCCACAGGGAAGATTTGGTCTCAGGTTATACCTGCCTCCAATGATGCCAGGTATTGGGGGGTGCAGGGCAAAAGGAATGGGAAAGATGTCTCGAGAGTCTCGGAGGAGTGGAGTCAGAAGGCTGTGGTGGCCAGCGTGTTCCTGGTTAATGCTGGATCTGTACGACTGTTTGTAAAGTTCTTTCCAATTAGTGTCTGGGGAAATGCTGGAACCTGGATCTGCAAAGTCTCTACGGTACAGGTGTCTCCACAGCATCTGGTCTACTGTGGTTGAGCTTAAGTATCTGGAGACAGTGGAGAGTCTCAGAACGGACTGGATGTCCAGGAGGCAGACAATACGAAGAAGCAGCTCTGGGGGGAGGGACTCCAGACTTACTAGAGGCATCGATGCTATTTCTGTGACAGCAGTATCTAGCGGTAATATCAGTTGGTCTCTGAAGGCTTTAAACAGTTCTGTTTGGTCCTGCAACACCACAGTTGTGTTGTTCCCTTGCCCCTGGTGTATTACGTAGGTACAGGGGTTTACGCAGAGTGTACCAACTGCATCGACTGTTTCACAAACCTTCAGAGAGGCAGTGATGGCAAGGGTAGGGCCCATGCATATGCCTATCACCATGACCATCCTGTTGTTACACACAGGATGAGAATATGAAAGCTTGTAGACTCCACCTGGCAACTTCCATCCGATTGGCATTTCACCACTGTTAAGCTCACCGACCTGAGAGATGAAGCCAGATTCCATCATCAGCAGGTGTGCGGCTACCATGATAGCATCACTGGAACAGCTAGCATTTGATATGAGGTAAATCTGCTCCTGAGAAGCAGAAACCTGATCCTCCCTGCATACAGCTGTGTCCACAGATTCTGTTGGTGCTGCAGGGCTGCAGCTATGGGCCAGGCTGGAGGTGGAAGTCATCAAGGTCTCCCTGCAGCTTCTTATTCTGGCAGTGCTGCAGATGGGAGCATTTAAGGTAAAGGATGCAGAGGTGGGGGGCGGGCGGGGGGACACAGCAGTTGTAAGCTCAGGTACGACAACACAGATCAGACCCGATAAGTCAGAGCATCAAAGTTGGATCGCAATCTGTGTGAAACTTGCGACTGGTAGTGATGTTAAATTGCAGTTGGTCTCTGTCAATGTTGCTCTGAATCCTGTTTTCTCCCTCCTTAGCCCCTCCCTTTTCATACAATGGCTGTGCATAGTAATGGTGACTAAGGTTACACTTCAAAGGATCAAAGACCACATCTCATTATTGCGCTCAACATAAGATCAAATAGGGAGAGAATGGAGCTGGTGTCACGATAACAGATGGTGAAACAACCTATAAATCAAACAGCTGTAATATTCAAGAATGTGCTTAAAAATCCATCACTATTTTTAAGCATTTCACAGGAAATATTTGACTTGGTAGTATTCTCCAAAACAGACCTATTAAATGGCAGTAATGCAAGGGGTGAAAAGCTAGTACCACCAGAAGAGAAGATGCAACCTGTTGAAGGTTAGGAACTCTGATGGAGGTGTACAGCTCCACACACCAATGCCCAGCCTGCTTGGACAGAGGCTCATTCATGTATGTCTTTCACAAGACGTTATCCTTCTACCTCTAGTCTCCAATGGTAACTTAACAGATCAGATTTATATAAACAATCACGTTGTTCCATCAAACAAAATCCCATGCTATGGCCAAACAATCATTTTAAATATCAACATTAACTGGTAAGTTGTGTTTTTAGAATTCTTAAAACAATCCTTATTTAATAAACAAACAACAGCTGATAACAATGCAATCACTAAATATTGCATTTTTTAATAATAAATGAATAAGTATTAACAGCACATTTCACAACTACTCTTTTCTTCCCACCAACTACCTGCTCATCCGTAGCCTACCAATCTGAGCAAACAGGAGTACCCAGCAGGTGCATAGAGGACCAAAAGGTTGCCTTTCAGCTGTGCAGCGTCCAAGCCTGTCAACTGGATCCCAGCCCCTCCAAGGTTTCCACTGTGTTTTACGTCCTCACATCCATCTGAAGCAAACTGCCTGCACCGTTGCCAGCTGGGGTAGCCGGTGCAGCAGCCAGTTGGCAGCCGTTCTAGACTCATGTTTAAGGAGAGTAGATAGCTCAGACTGAACAGAACAGTCATGCTACCCATGCCCAGTTAAACATACTCATCTGACCAACCAAACTCTGCTTCAGCATTTTTCAGATCTGGGATTGGCTAGTTTTTCACAAGTCATCACAAACATCACAAAACAGTTGGAATCCCACAGAAACTGGTGATTAACCTTCCTGCCTCGACATCCTACCTCCAATCAGGATAAGCTGTGTGCAGTGGTGGATTATCCTGGACCCGTGAGACAGAAATGACTAAAAATAACAACAGACTCGCGGATTTTTCAGCACCCCCTCCTGTCTCACACAGGATTTTAACTGCTCACACTGCTGTTGTCCACTTGCTGAGGAGGTCTGATGACATGGCCAGATAAGACCAGAATCAGGTTTAGATGTAGAGTCAAGGCTCTTTAACAAAGAACTCTATTTTTATCTTCCTTCGTTCCACACACTCCTGTATTTTATCACACACCCACTGTACGATATTTAGGAAAAAAAAACTCTTCTCAGCTATAGCAGCTGATTTTGAGATACAGCCAGCAAAAAATAATGTTTTGGTATTTTGTGTGTAGCTTCCATTTCTTCCATGTGGGATTTGCTGTGAACAAAGTTGAATGCCTTCTCCCATGTGTGATCTGTTGTTATTCTGTCACTCAGTCACAACAAAGATATAATATGTTCAGGTTTGGTGACTACTCAAAAAACACATAAGCACAAACTCTGAGTCGTTTTTTATATACCTTGAACATTAGAGAAAAAAAATTATAGTGTATGATGTTGTTGTGATCTTTCCGTCTTGTGGATATTTGTTGCAAAAAAATCCAACTTAGAAAATAAGAGCTACAGTTTAAATAATTAAATAAATGCAGATCTTCATAATACAGTGTCCAATGCCACACACTGTTATACGCACGTTGCATCACAATCACAGCTATTGATGCACATTAAATCACATCGGAGAAATTCTTATACCTACAGCCCAACTCCAAAACATAAATGTAGCAGCATGCCCTCCAAATCACACTGATCCTCTGTCAGGCTTTTAAAGGCACACTGTAGTCCGCTCTCAGGTAAATGAAGGTTTAGTAAATAATTCATAAACTCTAAGAGCATTGTCTGACAGAGTTATGACATGTGGAACACTGGCATGTAATGAACAATCATAAATATATAAATCTACACATACAAGCTGGACATGTTCTAAAAGAAATGGCACTTCTTTAGAAAAATTGAATTAGTATTTAGTACTGTACTTCTGTCTAACTGGTATAAGGCATTAAAATACCAGGGTGTTTGAGTGTTCTAATGTATTGATGTGGGTTTTTTTTAACTTTGCTGCCACTGTCTGATTCTTTACTGCCCCCTAATGATGAAGAAGAGGTCTAGTAATATAGTAATCGTCTAGTAATATATATTGTATCCTTTCAGGCTTGCATATTACGTCATATTACTTCATGACAACATACAATAAAGACATTGGCCTTTGAATTTTTTTAAGAACCCATGTTGGTAGGAGCAAAGCAAGAGTTAACAGAACTACCCCGCCCATCAATAAAATAAAGCACACAGGGCTTCCCTGTCACAGCTCATGACCTTTTCAGTCCACATCATTCTAAAGAAGGACGAGTCAGCAGCAGTAACAACATCACAGACAAGTGATGGAGAGCCGAACGGCTCAAAGTGACTTCACTTTGGGAAAACTAGAAAGTGTGCGCAGATAGTGCAAATATACTAGCACAGAGAGTAGTGGTAATATTTCTATCTATGCGTATGATGAATACTTTACGTCAATAACCCTGGAGAGTTATAACAGATATATTCTTCTAATAAATACTGTAGCTCCGCAAAACCCTTACCAGATGTTTCAGCCTAAACGTTCGCTCCCACTTTAGAGTTATCTTTATATCTATGTTGGTACTGACCCTCTAAACTTTTAACCTGTAGACAAATCACAGAATACCTGTACAAACGCAATGTAACAAAACCTTTTCTTTCATGATACCACAGTGATTATTTTAATTTGTTAAAAAGTGACATTTTACCATTTACATAACTGCCAATTAATTGTAAGATATGCCCATCACACATTAAATCCCTCAGAAAGTGAGGTTCCGTTCCTTCACTTGTGATGTCATGAATAAACAATTATTAAATCCTGCCAGAATCATTCTTTACCCTGATGCTGACGTACAAGTTTATGTTCCTGGCTTGTAAGTGAGAACCTAAAGGAACAGTCAGCAACAAGAGTGACATATACTGGTTTGTAAATGTTGCAGTGCACTGCATTTTCCAAATGCTGTTTTTTCCTAACAGAAAATATCAGACCGTAAACTAAACACTAGAGCATCTGTTGTCTCCACAAATGTACAGTAAGAACAAAGTCAATACTGCAACAAACCTGGAACAGTTTATTTTTAAACATTAGCAGGTATATTCAAGTATAAGCTGGTTAAATAATTCTCAATTTAGCATCAATGACAACAACCATTGTTGAATAATGAATACATGTTTACACACATCCTTATTAGAGCATAAAGGCTTGTCATCAATCACAACCTACTTTGCTTTTTCACTGGTGTGTGTGTGTGTGGTTCTACCAATGGAGAGTAGGTCAGACTACACACAAATCTAATGAGACGTGAATGCTGTGAGATGGAAATGCGGCTTGAGGCACAAAACAACTCTCAAAAACAATGATAACCCTCTAACATAAAAGCACAGGCACAACACACACTTTTAGGTTTATAATATCTGAAAACCACATTTTAAATACGGCCTGAATGTGTACAGACTTGGGGGCCTCTCAGTGTACAGGCTGTTTAGGCCGGATATACAGCGAAAGAGGGAGAGTGACATAGAGAGAGAGAAAGAGAGGGGGCATGAAAGCATTAGAGAGAGAAAGAAAGAGAAAGAGAGAGCATAAAAGCATTAAAGAAAGAGAGAAAGAGAGAGAAGGAGAGCGACATAGAGAAAGAGAGAGAGAGCATGAAAGCATTAGAGAGACAGAGAGAGAGACAGAGAGAGAGACTGGGAGGGAGGTTCATTTCAACAGTAAATAAACTGCTGCAAGGTCATGGTCATTCAGCATGCCAGTGAACTGAACATTAAAAAAAAAGCAAGTGCTATTTCCTTTAATTTTTAACAGAGCTTTTCAACAAACAAGTAAAAATCTCTTGTTCCCCATAAAACATTTAGACCAGACCTTTGTATTTCCACAGTATACTCAACCATTCGCAGATTACAATGTCAAATTATCCCTCACCTACTGTTTCTGTAAACACTATATAACATGCAGTACACATTTTGATACTCATGAAATCAGAATTGACACGAAAAGAGATCATCTAGACACCTCCATGTATAAAGAAATCTGTTACATCCGAAAATAACTTGTGAGAATGCAGCAGCTCACTGAGTGACTTAGTGTTCTACTCCCTGCAGAGTCAAACAGGCGTGAACTCAGACAGACTACTGTAATGTTATGCGAAAGAAAAAAGGACAATTTTGGACAAGTTGTCTAGACAATTTACAAGGTCTTATTTTCATATTCTTGTGACACCCACACAGCTACACCAAATAGGGCCAAGGGAAAGTGTGTTTCAAGTATGTCAGCCCATTACAAAAATAACTTTCTGCTTGAATCTAATTTAAGCTTGGTCTTTAACTAAATATTGACAGCACAGTTGACAGCAATATCTCCTGAAAAAGAAGAGAAACTCGAAGAGCAACTCCTTTGGACATTTGCATTCGACGAGAGAGCGAAACCCCTGTAAACAACTAGGGATCTAATCTAGGGAGACTGTCTTCACTTCAGTAACTTGAGTGCGAGTCTGAAAGAAGCTTCTTTCTTCTGAAAATGATGTGAAGTCTTGTAACAAAGGTGTTTTTGTCTGAAGCACGAGTTGGCATGTGCATTCCAGCATCAAGGAAAGACAATTACAACCAAGGACACTGTTACCGTCATGAAAAATTGAACTGCAGACTCGAGTTTCTAAAATGATCAATGAAAAAAATGTTCTGTCAAACTTTCCTATTTACCATTTAAAGTAGCAAAGAAATCGCGTCTCATACAGTTGATTTATGACTCAGTGGAACACGAAATATAATATTAAAATGGAGGCTGTTTATATTTCATCTAGTGGCATCAGTTTCACAAGAGTTTTCTCATGAAACTCATGAAAGATATTCTCTAAAAAGAAAGTTGTCTAATAGAACATTATAATGGTTTCTGATTTAACTCCCTCAGCTACATAAAGATTGTTGTACAGTTATATGCATGTTTAAATGTAATACTAATATTATTTTAATAATATATTATTTAAATATAATTGGCTAACTCACTTGAATAACTCACAAGAACAACTTGTGTATTATGGTCTCCAATGATGCTAAGGCTCATGGGCTAAATATAGCACAGAGCTCCATTGATACTCTTTGGTTTATAACAGCTTTTTACCCCTTTACTGCCATTCTATGGTCTTTCTGGTATGAGCTTTTAAAAATGTGTATGAAGATTCATTTTTCTGATTGTATGATTTATTTATTATTTTGATTAATCCTGAATTATAACAGGAATCTATTGGCATCACAAAGGTTATATTGTTGGACCATGAAAATAAGCGATGACAAACGTCTCCATCAACAGACCATTGTCGTCTATTACATGGACATAATTGGAGGCCCTGTCTTTGTTAGCAGCCCATCTGGCCCAACTATGACATTCACTGCAGATTAACAATAAATATATTGTGACGTTTCACACAATATTGACTTGAAAACACAAAAAGCATTCACACAGACACTCACCAAACACCAACACACACACTGACTGACACTGACACAAGGTCATGGGAACCAGTTCTATCCAGCCAGCAGTGAGCTGTGTTGACATAACACACAAATCAACAGAAATCACAGTGGCATCACACTGGCAACTACACAGTCTGAACACTGCTCATTTTGTGCATTGTTGTACGAAGCAACAGTGATTCACATTATAGCCTCCATACAGTCTTAGTGCAAATACTTTTGTGCAAGTACTTTTAGGCACACGCCCCCTAGGGTGTTCAGGGCCAGCCTGAGTGAGAGAGAGGGGGGGGAGAGTGTTTGTGTGTATATGAGAGATTGTTGCTTCCTGTACGTGAACGTGACTCAGAAGACGTTATCTTTGGAATGACAGGAAAAGGGAGGGATGTTTGCTAGTTGTTTCCTGAACATTAGCCTATTTTTCCCCTTGTTTCAAATGAGACCGGGACAAAACCAAAAGCACATTATCTTCAAAGTGAAGTCTTTAGATTTAATATGACAATTATCTCACCGCAAGACCCAGCACAGGACTTTAGGGATGGCTGTGACTTCCTATCTATTTTAATCATTATTATTTCATGCCCACTATCATTTTAAACCCGAAGTTTTACAAGGTGATCATGTAACTAGTTATATTTCATCGAAGGGAAAGTGGAGCGAGGGCAGAGAATGGGAGTGGATAAAATGTTTTAAAATAGATGTACATGGGAACAGATTTTTTTCAGCACATTGAGAATTGCAAATATTAAAATTCATCATCCACAAAAATCCACTTTAAAAAAAAGGACAGAAGTTGTTGATGCTCCATAATGAACAATTATTCACTGACAATTAAGAGGAAATGCCATCCTTTGCAAAATTCNNAACTGAATTTCCATGTAATGACTTTGAAGCTTTGTAATATTTTTCTCTGTTCATTGTTTTGGCTCATGTATCCTGTTCTTATTATTTCTCAGATTTTCAAAGTAATTATAAATAGAAACCATGGCAACCCGCTGTCAGCCTGTTATAAGAGCCAAGTGTGTTTTAATAGTCACATGTAAATGAAGGGCTGCTGAGTCATGACGCGTTTGCAGCTCATCATCCTGTTTGGAATTATGTAAATGAATCCTCCATGTCAGTGTGTAATACAGAGAAACACTATTAAAACCATGTTAATTATCACTTGCATCGCACCATTGGATTTCCAAGGTTAAAGCAAATACAGACTACATACTTCGTTCTAAATTAAAAAGAATGCTAGAAATCCAAAGCCTTTGAAATTGTAAACATTTGCCAGATACATTTGAGACTAAACCTGAAGCAGGTTATTTTTATCGTCAAATTATACTGACTCACAGGGCTGAAATAAACAAGAAGATAATGTTTTTCCTGTCGTGACTGAGCTGTTAATCGGAGATTCATGTAACACTGTAATTACTGTGACACAACAGGAAAGGGCTGTGGAGTGCTGGTGAACTAATTTTCTGTATCTGTGTGTGTGTGTGTGTTTTAATTGTTCTGGGAGGAAACTTTAGAAGAAACACCAAATGGTGTAGGGGTTTGTTTGAAAGAATTCACATAATACTGTGGTTTTCATAACATTTTTGTAACACTGATGGCTACACCTCAGTTCAAAAACTCTGGTGTGGTTATGCATTTTCAACATTTTACATTTTAACTACACCAGAGATTAGATTGTATAGGACTGTAAACAAAGTTTGAGAGGAAACATCCTGCTAGTCAATTATAGATATTTCAAATAGTGAGAGTCAGAGACAACTTAAAGTTACCAGTGGATATATGTAACCAATAGAATATAATGAATTATCTAAGTCTGAAATCAATAGTGCTTAGTTTTTCTCCAGGGCTTGAAAACTACATATAATGACAATAACTGTGTTTGAGGCTGATTTTCTACAATAACAATACAGAAAAGCTATCATTTTGTGCTATGGCAAAAAGGAAACTCAATCCTCCCCACCAGGAGAATTCAAATATATTTTTTCTGATCAAATAGTCTTGATTTGGTTGGTGTTTATGATGTATTTTAGATTTACCTTAGTGATGCAAACTCTCCATACTAGGCAGTGACAGACCAGCAGCGTCAGGCTTCAAAATGCAAGTTGATGAAGTATACGTATTATACACAGGCTTCTAGTTTTGGTATTCATGCCTGGTGGTGCAAGCAAAACAGCTGAGGTGGACTATGCTCAGTGACATGTCATTAAGTTGCATGAGACAAGCATATCAATCCCAGTGGGCAAAATACTGCCAGCTCTTCACCAAGGACAAGAATGTCAACACTCTCTCACAGTAGACTACAGCTCCAAAAGACTCCTGTACTAGGGCTGAAAATAGTTTGAAAGGCAACAAGAAAGCATTACAGAGATCCAACCCAAGAGGGCAACACGTTTTGATCACACAAGCAACTAACCAAATGTGCTTGATGTTAGCTTGAGTTTCACCACGCTTTTGACCTCTGACCAGTTGCAGGGTTGTGGCCACCACTCACACAGACAAGCAGGGAGGGGGATAGCAAGATGCATGCAGGAATTTTATCAGCCGGCCACTCCCAGCAGCTGTCAGAGC